TAATATTTGCTGTGCCGAATGGTAAGCGTCCGAGGGGTAGACCGAAGCGAAGGTGGGAAGATTGCATTAAAGCCGATCTGAAGGGACTGGGTTTGGACGGCGAACGGTGGAGGGAGATGTGTAATCAGCGATTGGTGGTGTCGGCATCGAACCTTCGGGTTCGCTAAGCCTTTTATTATTATTATTATTATTATTTTCTCTTTATTTTTCACATATACAATGGTGTTTAAATTATGTAATAGTTGGGGACCTATTAGGTCAGCCAAAAATTACATTTGTATATTTTCTTAATTATTTTATATTTGTGAACTTCCTGACAATATTTGCCGTTCCCAACAACACCGCTTGTTGCATTCTTTCGATCGTCTGAGATGGTAGTTCTAGTAGTCGCAGAGAAGATACAGTTTCTTCCGGTATCAGTCCGTTGCACGAGATTACAATTGGCAGAATTCGGGTTTCCTTCAAATGATATAATTGTTTGATCTCTTCAGCCAATTCTACGTACTTTCTCTTTTTTTCCGCTACTACCTTGTGCAGGTTATCATCAGAAGGAACTCCAATCTCTATGATAAACGCAGATTGCTTACTTTTATCTATTATAAGAATGTCTGGTCTATTGTGGGGGATGGTGTGATCCGTCAGGATCGGTTGATCCCAGAACACCTTGACATTGTGCATGGAGTTAATTGGTTCTGGATGGTATTTATAATACGGACAATACTTATCGACGAGTTCCATTTTCTGAGCCATAGCTTGATGCACTACCTTAGCTGCATTGTTGTGTCTCTGCAAGTATTCCTTACCCGCAAGTATTGTGCATCCCGATGTTACATGTTGAATTGATTCAACTGCCTTTTTGCATAAGCGACATAAGTCATCGATGGCCTCTCCACATATATGTTTTCTGTATGCTTTTGTGGCTATTACCTGTTCTTGAATAGCAAACAAGAATCCTTCTGTTTCCGGAAAGATACTTCCACTCTTCAGCCATGTCAATGACGCCTCAGCGTCCACTCCTACATCCATTAATGAGTGATAAAATCGTCCGTGTAAAGGTTTATTTTTCCATATTTCTGATCGAGTGCCATCATCTGCTTCACTAATCGGGATTCCAGGGCTTCGTAAATTCAAAGCTGTATAATTTATATCTAATGATGCGATAGTTGAAAGGATATTGGAAGTATGGTTTATAATGTAGTTGCGAAGATTATTTTCTTCCTTTCGGCATAAATTCAAGAGGCTGACTAGACCACGCCCTCCCGATTTCCTAGGAAGATACAATCTCACTACAGATGACTTTGGATGCCTCTTCCTTGAAAGCACCATCTGTACTCTAAGAAAACGATCCAACCTTTCTAAATCGGTTTTAGTCCACTTCAGTACCCCAAATGAGTAGGCTAAAGCAGGTATTGCCCAGGTATTCAATGCCCGTATCAAATTTCTTCCACTTAAATGTGATTTAAGTACTAATTTAACACGGTATTTAAATTCTTCCTCAAAGTTTTTCTTTGAATTAGCATTGAATTTCAGAAGTTGGTGTACTCCAAGGTACTTGTAAGAATCAGATTCTCTCAATTGATTCATTATTACATTTTCCGATATATTACTCCCCTTAATAACTTTTCCTCTTTTCACGTGTACTATTGCACATTTATCTATTCCTAGATCCATTTTTATATCGTTACTGAACGTTCTTACTGTCTTCAGAAGAGCTTCCATTTCGTCTTCATTCCTAGCGTAAAGCTTGAGGTCATCCATATAGAATGAATGAGAAAGCTTCATTTCAGAGTTAAGTGGGTACCCTTTATCTGTATCAGCCAATAATTTGCTAAGTGGATTAAGCGCCAAACAAAACCATAGAGGACTAAGGGAGTCCCCTTGAAAAATACCTCTCTTTATAGATACGTATTCATTGGAACTCATTTCATTCAAAGTTGGTGTGCTGATTGAGACCCTCCAAATTTTCATCAGTCGTTCTAATAGATCTATTATTGCCTGGTTTACTTTATAGATTTTCAACACTTCCAGAAGCCAATCATGGGGAACCGAATCGAAGGCTTTACGGTAGTCGATCCAAGACAATGTAATATTACGAGATTTTTTTGTAACTTGAGCAGCAATAAAAGAATCGATAATCAGAAGTTCTTTGCAACCTTTGGAACCTGCCTTAATACCTAACTGTTCCGCTGCCATAATACCCTTTTCCTCAATGTAATCTGTCAACTTATTCCTGATTACAGCCGTTAGTAATTTGTACACACCATTAAGACAAGTTATGGGTCTCAAATCCTGTGGCTCCAGCCTGTTTTTGCTTCCTTTCTTTATTAAGTGAGTCGTACCGGTACAGAACTTCACTGGTAAGTCAATCTCTTCAGACAATAGTTTCTGATACCACACAGCTAGGTGGCTATGAACACTGCTAAAGGACTTTAGCCAGTAATTTTGTATTTTATCTGGACCAGAAGCTTTCCAGTTTTTCATTTGCTTGAGTGCCTTAGTCACATCTTCCACAGTGATACTGGTTGCTTCCATAGGTTGGAGATCTGATAAGCTATGGCGAATATTTTCCAACCAATTTGCTTCATTGTTAAAACATTTTTTATTTTCCCAAATACCTTTCCAATACTCTGATATTTCAATAGGTTCTGGATAGACATCGTTATTATTTTCCTTTTTAGGTTTTAAAGATTCATAAAAATATTGTTCTCTTTTATTAAATATTGAATTTTGTCTCCTTCGATCATGAGCTTCTGTATACCTCCTAATTCTATTTGCTAACACTGCTAATTTCTGCTTGAGCGTTTCCATATAAACACCAACTTTTTTATTTAACTCACTTCTTACTACTCCTCCAATATTTAATACAATAATTTCATCAATTTTTTTCTTTAGTTTTAAAGAAGCATTTTCTGGGTTCCGAAGGTAATTAGTAATAATTCCGATTTTACACCGTATATTTTCGATCTTTTTTTTAATTCTTCTCTTCCAGGGAGGATCTTTGCAATCATTAGTTTTATTACAATTCACCTTATCTTTTATCAAACCTAGCTCCATCGAGACAGTTCGGGCCCCTACGTATATCCAATGACATATCTCTTCTAGAGTTATACCCATCGACATATGCTCAGCAAGTATCTCGTTGACGGTGTTGACAGCGGATAAAGTTCTTTTGGAATATGGTACCTTTGGTATAGAGGGTCTACTGTCCAAAGGTATTCCTTCATACATTATGTGTTCTCTTAATAGTATATTACGCATCTCTATAATGTGTGACGCTTTTTGGGTATTCACAGAAGTCGTTTCCAATTGCATAATCGCCGAGGATTCTGCCTCTTCTACTTGTTGTATTTCTATCTGTGAGTTTCGGGCAAGTATATTACCTACTTCTGTTCTGATTGCATTAATTTCCGATTCGGATAAAAACTGGCGTTCTAATATTTGTTTGACCTGGTCAGCGAGTCTTTGAGATGATACAGCTATTTGCGGATATTTTTCGTTCCAGTGACGATTGATTCTTTTGCGATATCCTGTTTTTTCTTTCTCTAAGTTTGTAGCCAATAAGTAAGCTCGGATAGCAGCAATATTCATATTGCGGTCCCACTTCATCCTTCGTTGCCTACCTATTTGGCCAATGATTCCTCTTCCTCGCGCGGGAGACTCAACGGTATCCAAGCACGGTTCAGAGTTTAATGATGAAAGTCCTATGGCAGCCGGTCTTACGGGAACATACGACACCGAGGCACCACTCGCACCACCTGCAGATGTCGAAGGCTGAATATCCAATCCCTCCGAAGCAGCCCTTACTTCGGATTCGTCCGAGGCTATTTGTTTCCTAGTTCGCACCATTTTGATGGGTAGATGCATTTTATACCTGCTGCCAGGTCATCCTAGGGGAGGTAGCCCTAGGGTGTGTACTGTCTGTGTCCTTAGTGTCAGTGTAAATGATTTAGTGGACGGTTGTGTGTGTATCTGTAGGTGGTGTACTGTACTCAAGAAAACGGGGGATCGTAAAACCCCTGCAACTGCACCTATCAGTTGCCCCTTGCGGTATTATTATTATTATTATTATTTTCTATGTTATTATTATGTTTTATTATTATGTTATTATTATGTTTTATTATTATTATTATTATTATTATTATTATTATTATTATAAATACACTTTAAAAAGTTTTCAAAATAGTCTAATGTTGGCAGACAGTAATTTTAAAGGTAATAATAGATTGGTAAGTGAAAGTTGTGTGATACGAATACCAGATTTTTTCAGTTATGATACTATATAACTGTAAGCACGTCTTATGAATAATACATTAAAACTGTAAAATTATTATTGTTTGTACAATAAATTTTGTAATGCTTCAAGAATCACTTAAACACCATTTCATGCAGGTAGTAAAGTTCTTTATTTTTCTTCCCAAATAACTATTATATATAATAGTTATATATGTATAGAAGCTTTCGGGTTGAAGCTGGCTCCAATATTTAATATTGGAACCGCTACTGGTGAGATAGAGGTCTGATATACAAGCAACAATAAAAATTGGAGCTTCATTTATTAGTTAAGAAATAACAGTAAAAAACATATTCAGTAATGTTTGGTTGTTATTTCTGGAAAGAGATTTTCCGTTTTAATTGTAAACGAATATATTTTTGAAAAATTGAAATGTTGTTATAATATTGTTTTCATAACATATTGAGATCCAGTATGTTTGTGTTTAAAATTGTGGACAATAAGAACAATAAAAATATTTGCCCTTCCAATTGGTTGTTTGTATAATTGTATAGTTTTGTGGAGAAACTATGCAAAGAGAAAAAGATCAAGTTCCTTTAACATCGAAAAGCCACAATTTGGATCTATGAATAAAATCGAAAGATGAAGAGATCAGATATGTTACATTGGAATAAGAATAGAATATTTACAATCAGTATTTTTGTATCCATATTATTATTTTTTGTTTATATATACATATCATGTATATATCAGTGTTTTTCTGTTCCAGAAAAGTTTGGCAGAAAAAAATAAATCGACAGAAGCTAAAATTGAAATTTATAATTATCTGAACATCCCAGACAACGCTGACGAAAATACATTCTATGATCTTATTAGCACCAAAGGAAATAGAACACATAAACCTATTGTACAAGCCGCATTCGATGGACGATTAAATGTAATTAGGTCTCTAGAACAGCTTGGTGTAGATGTTGATTCTCAAAGCGATTCTGGTCTAACAGCGCTTCATATAGCGATCCAAAATGGATACGAAAACATATTCATATTTCTTGTGTCAAAAAATGCCAATCTCGAACTCAAAAATAGCAGGGGAGAGACTGCATTGCATCAAGCTGTCGTATATAATAATTTGGACATGATAAAAATGTTAATACATCACGGGTCTTATGTAAACGCTCTGACATCAGAAAATAAAACAGCACTGGATTTGGCAGCCTGTACGGGAAACGACTTAATTTTTGAACATATTTTAATGAGGAATGGAAAACTTAACTATGTGAACCGAGACAGCGGCATCGACGGCCCACTGCATTGTGCAATAGGTAATCCATCACGGTACATAGTCAACGCCTTGATAACTTTGGGGGTTGATGTAAATGACAAGGGTTACAACGGTAGAACAGCCTTACACATAGCATCGGAAAAGGGAAATGATGACATGGTGAAATTTCTGTTAATGAAAAATGCAACCATGAATGAAAAAGACATATTTGGTTCCAACCCAATTCATTACGCAGTAAGGAAGGGCTGGGTCAATGTCATTACAACATTGTTAGACCATGGTGTTGATGTTAATGTAAAAGGAGAGAATGGAATGACAGCTTTACACCTAGCCGCGAACAATGGAGATCTTAATTTAGTAGAATTTCTTTTGGCACGTAATGCAAGTAAATCAGCAAAAGATAATAACGGAAAACAACCAATAAGAATAGCAATGGACAGCAGAGACATTGACGTATTTAAGTCATTTGTTGAACATGGTTCCGATGTCAATATCAGGGGAACAGAAGGGATGTCTGCTTTACATCTTGCAACGGTGACAGGAAACAATGACTTAGTAAAATATTTGTTATCTAGAAACGCAATCACAAATATAAAAGACGACAAGGGAACACTGCCAATACAATATGCGATTGATAAATGGCATATTCATTTATTAAAGCTATTTTTTGAGCATGGGTCAGATGTTAACACCAAAGGAATAGAAGGGAGAACTGCTTTACATTTAGCTGCATGGGATGGAGACAAAGATTTGGCAGAATATCTTTTGGCTAAAAATGCTAGTACAAATATAAAAGACAACAATGGAACACTGCCAATACAGTATGCGATTGATCAACGACATATTTATTTACTAAAACTGTTTTCTGAGTATGGATCGGATGTTAACACTAAAGGAACAGAAGGAAAAACTGCATTACATTTAGCAGCGAAGGAGGGAGATCAAGAATTGATTAAATATCTTTTCACTAGAAATGTAATTACAAATATTAAAGATAACAACGGAACACTCCCAATACAATTAGCAATAGATCAACAGCATATCTACTTAATAAAGCTATTTTTTGAGCATGGATCGGATGTTAATATCAAAGGAACAGAAGGGAAGACTGCATTACATTTAGCAGCGAAGAAGGGAGATAAAAATTTGGTTGAGTATCTTTTGGATAGAAATGCAAGTATAAACATAAAAGACAATAGTAGAACACTGCCAATACAATTTGCGATCGATCAAGGACACGGGCATGTATTGAAGCTGTTTTTTGAGCATGGTTCAGATGTTAACACCAAAGGATCAGAAGGACAAACTGCTTTACACATAGCTGCATGGAATGGTGACCAAGGTTTGGTTGAATATCTTTTGGCTAGAAATGCAAGTATTAACATAAAAGACGACAATGGAAATTTGGCTATTCAATTCGCGATTGATCAAAGACATATCAATGTATTGAAATTGTTTTTTCAGCATGGATCGGATGTTAACATCAAGGGGACTAGAGGAATGACTTCTCCAAATCTTCCCATGACTTGGAAAGAAGAATATCTCTTTGAAAAAAATACAAGTACTAATGATAATGATAATAACGGCAAAGCTACAATACAATGCGCGATAAATGATAAAGAAAGAGAAAAGTATAAGGACGTAAATGAACATAGTTATAATTTTAATGCACAAATAAAAGGAATGACAGCATTACATTTAGCGGCTGCTTTAGGAAAAGAGGATTTAGTTGAGTTTCTCATTGAGAAAAATGCTAACATTAGTGCCAAAGACGATGCAGACAACGAACCAATCCATTATGCAGTCCGAAATGGGAAATTAAACATTATAAGAATCTTGCTAGATCATGGAGTTGATATTAATGCCAAAGACTCACTAGGCTCTACTGCCCTCCATTTAGCAACCCAGATAGGTAGCACGAAACTGGTGACTTTTCTAATACTAAAAAATGCAACTGTTAACATAAAGAACAAAAAAGTAATACTGCCAATACAATTCGCGATTGATGGATCGCATATACATCTTTTAAAGCTGTTTTTTGATCATGGATCAGATGTTAACACTAGAGGAATAGAAGGAAAGACTGCTTTACATTTAGCTGCTTGGGAGGGAGATCAAAATTTGGTTGAATATCTGTTGGCTAGAAATGCAAGTATAAACATAAAAGACAACAAGGGAGCACTACCTATACAATTTGCGATTTACCGATGGCACGTGAATTTAGTGATGTTATTTTTTGAGCATGGATCGGATGTAAACACCAAGGGAACAAATGGGACGGCTGCTTCTATTTTGTCTACGTCGGGGTTAGATAAATTAATCTCTGAAATTAATTTTAATATAAGTAAGAATGGTATTAATGATAATGTTAAAGATCAAATACAATGCTCTATAAAAGGTAAAGAAAGGGAAAACTACAATAACGTAAATGATAATAATTTTGATCTGAAAACGCAAGTAGAAGGAATGACAGGTTTACATTTAGCGGCTGCTTTGGGAAAAGAGGATTTAGTGAAGTTTCTCATACAGAAAAATGCTAACATCAGTGCCAAAGACAGTACATATAGGGAACCAATCCATTATGCAGCCAAAAATGGGAAACTAGACATCATAAGGATCTTGCTACATCATGGGGTTGATATTGATGCCAAAGATTCAAAAGGTTCTGCTGCCCTCCATTTAGCGACTCATATAGGAGATGCTAAACTTGTGAATTACTTAATATCCAAAAATGCAACCGTAAACATAAAGGACGATTATGGTTTAGCGCCGCTGCACATAGCTGCAATAAGTACTAACATCAATATAATAAATATTTTATTGAATCACGGAGCCGATATCGATATTCAAAGTGGAGATGGAATAACTGCTCTTCATTTGGCTGCACAACTGGGTGATGAAAAACTGGTGAATTTCTTAATATCGAATAAGGCAACGGTAAATGTAAAATACTACTTTGGCTTCGCGCCAATACATTTGGCTGCTGAGTATGGTTATATTAATGTGATAAGTATTTTGCTGGATCATGGAGCCTTTATCGATATCGGAAGTTATGGTGGAAAGACTGCTCTTCATTTGGCTGCTAAACTGGGTAATGAAGAACTGGTGAGTTTCCTAATTTCCAAAACGGCAATCGTAAACATAAAGGACGACTTTGGACTAGCGCCGATACATTTGGCGGCTGAGTACAGTCACATTAATGTGATTGGTATTTTACTGGATCATGGAGCCTTTATCGATAGTGCAAGTGTAGATGGAATAACTGCTCTTCATTTGGCTGCTGGTTTGGGTACTGAAGAAGTTGTGAACTTTCTGATATCAAAAAAAGCAACCGTAAATTTAAAAGACAACCATGGCCGGGGGCCTATACATTTTTCAGTTGGATATCGCGATTTCGATATGGAAAATTTTCCAGATTCTATTTTCGATTTCAATGTTATAAATGCAACGGAAACTCATTTGGCCACAGAAAAAAGTACTGAAGAATTAGTGAACTTTCAAACATCAAAAAATGCTACCGTTAACAAAAAAGATAATTATGGCTCTTCTTCATTACTTTTTGCATATCATGATTTCAATATGATAAATATTTTCCTGGATCTTGGAGTCGAAATCGATGATGGTGATAAAAACGGAAAAACGGCCCTTCATTTGGCTGCTGAACGTGGTCATGAAGCTTTGGTGAACTTCTTAATATCAAAAAATGCAACCGTGAACATTAAAGACAACTATGGCATTGCGCCTTTATATTTGGCGGCTGAATATAACTGTTACAACGATGAACGGATATACAATAGTACGAATGAAATAAGTATATTGTTGAATCATGGAGCTGATATCGATGTTAGAAATGCAGAGGGGAAAACTGTCCTTCATTTGGCTGCTGAACAAGGTTGTGAAGAATTGGTCAACTTTCTATTAACAAATAGAGCAACCGTAAACATAAAAGATAACAATGGATCAACGCCCATACATTTTGCGGCTGCGCATAGTGATATTAATATGATGAATGTTTTGATAGCTCATAGAGCCAACATTGATGAAAGAGGTGCAATGGGGAAAACTGCTCTTCACTTAGCTGTTGAGTTAAATAGTGATGTATTGGTGAACTATCTAATATCAAAAAATATTACGATTAACATAAAAGATGACAATGGATCAACGGCCTTACATTTTGCGGCTTTACGGGAAAATATAAATATGATAAATATTTTGATAGATCATGGAGCCAATATTGATGCTAGAGATGCACAGGGAAAATCTGCCCTTCATTTAGCTGTTGAGTTGGATAATGAAGTATTGGTGAATTTCTTAATTTCAAAAAACGCTACCATAAACATAAAAGACAACAAGGGTTCTGCCCCGATACACTACGCTTCAAAAAATAAAAATGTAAACGTGCTAAACATTTTCTTAAATCTTGGGATTAATATCAATGAAAGAGGAGCTAGGAGTTCGACACTTCTCCACATGGCAATTGAAACGGAAAATGAATATTTGGTCAAATTTTTACTATCGAATAATGCTAGTATCGACATAAAAGATAGCTGGGGTGCTGTACCTTTTCAAATAGCTATCGATAGGGAAAACGTTAATATCATAAAGGCTTTACTGCTATCTCGAACCGAAATTGATGCAAACCTCAAGGGAAAGAAAGGGCTTGCAGCACTTCACATTGCAGCTAATTATGGTAGCGAAGAACTAGTGAACATACTCATATCAAAAAATGCCAGTTTAGGAGTGAAAGATAACCATGGTTCTAGGCCTGTACATTTTGCAGCTATGAGATATGAAAAAGGCATATTAAAGTTATTGTTAAGTTACGGTGCAGATATTAACATAAGGGGTAAAATTGGCACAACATGTTTACACATAGCAGCATCTCGTTTTAGTGAGGATTTAGTGTCATTTCTTTTGTCCAAAAACGCTAGCCTAGAGGTCAAGGACAATATGGGTTCGCAGCCTATACATTATGCATTTTTTAGAGGCAACCTTGGTATTATAGAAACCATGTTTAAGTACGGAGCTAATCTCAGTGCCAAAGGTTATAGTGGTCTAACTCCAATGCATTTTGCCGCCGAGATGCGTGATCTTGATATTTTGAATTTTTTACTATCTAAAGATATTAGAATTCATGTCAAAGACAGCCGAGAAAATGAACCCATACATCGAGCGCTATTGGCGAAGAGAGCAAATAAAGAGGCCATTGAGACTCTTTTGAATCATGGAACTGATGTTAATGTGAAAGGCACATTAGGTTTTACGCCTCTCCATATAGCAGCAGAGAAAGGTTTGTATAATGTTGTGAAACTGTTACTCTCAAGAAATGCTGATCCTAATGTCATGAGCTATAACGGCCGGACGCCTCTAGAATTAGCCACTCAGTTCGGTAGTTTGGACATCGTCAAAATACTTCTTGATCACGGGGCAAAAGTCGAAGACCGCAGTTTCCTCGGATCGCAGGCCCTTTTCCTGGCTGTGGCCAACAGATCTTTGGAATTTACTAGACTTCTTCTCAAAAATGCAGTAAAATTTGAAGAGTATCCAACACTTATTCTTAATTTTGCTATTAGTAAAGGGTCGCTAGATAAAGTTAAATTATTAACTTCATTCGGAGCAGATGTTGAATCCCCAGACATTCACGGCAATTTTCCGCTCTTAATGACTGTGATATCACGGAACGTGGATATGGTAAATACAATTTTAGGAACAAAAGCCAAAAATAGAAGAATGAAAAGGAATTATGAAAACTTTTTGGATATAACTTCTTCTGTTCAAGTGAATTCCTTTACAGAAAACACAACTGAACTTCATAACGTGAGTGCTTTACAACTTGCTTCTTATTACGGTTACATGGATTTGGTAAGATTGCTAACGTCTTATGGCTCTTCTTTAGATACCAGGGATGAAAGAAATTACACCTCACTTCATTACGCTTGTTTACATGGTCAGAGAGATATTGTGGAATTCTTGTTAGATTATGGTGCTGACAAAGATGCATTTGATGTTCACGGTGTAACTCCATTACACATTGCCTCAAAAAAAGGATTGAATGAAATAGTTGGACTTCTTCTCTCGGATCCCGTTGCTTCTGTTAATTTAGTAGACAATAGAGGATACACTGCTCTTCACGATGCTGCAAGTATGGGACATGGCAATATAATAACACAGTTACTGGATGCCGGCTCTAACAAAGACGCCATGACTAACGAACAAAAAACTCCTCTTATCTTGGCTTCTATGAATGGCCATACTGAAATCGTAAAAATATTAGTAAACAAGGAAAGCAATAAAGAAGCCACCGATATTCACAATATGATTCCCTTGCATTTCGCTTCTAAAGAGGGATACTCAGACATAGTGAGTCTCTTACTGGAGTATGGGTCTGAGGTTGGCAGCAGGAACCAAAATGGAAGTACCCCATTGCACTTGGCATGCGAAAAAGTTTTAAACGAAAAACGAAGTCCAAATTTCATCATCAGTAATAAAACCGAGATTGTAGACATGCTTGTAAGGTCTGGAGGCTACATAGAAGCTATTGATATATTTGACATGACCCCTTTGCACATTGCTTCCCGGGATGGTTATGCAACCATTGTGGATTTAATATTATCTCACAGGGTTAAACCTGACAGAACTCCTGACAAATTTGGCTGGTTGCCTCTCCATTATGCTGCTGATCAAGGTCATGATGAAATAGTTAGAAAGTTAATAAAGAGGGGAGCAAATCCTGATGAGCCAAATAATAATATCGAAACTCCTTTAATTTTGTCATCAAGAAAAGGACACTTAGGAGTAGTAAGTTCTTTAATTTCCTCGGCAGATTTGGACAAAACCGATGTCAAAGGCAGAATAGCATTACACTATGCCTCCATGAATGGACACACACCAGTGGTTAAATTGCTTATAAAAGCTTTAACGAACAAAGACATGGAAGATAAGTGGGGATTCACTTCATTGAATTATGCAGCATCTTGGAGAGGTCACCAGGACAATATAGGGTATTTGTTGAAAACCTGGATGGAAATAACATTTTCAGATTATTATGAAATGTCTTATCCTAACATATGATTTTGTTTCGGCTTAAATAACTCCTTTGTTAGAATAAATTATCACATACTGGATAAAAAAAAAATAGCTCAATGAACCGAATCAATAGAGAGTGAGCTTATTAAGAATGTGATTAATTTATGATACAAAATCCTGACACACAATGTTAAGAAATCCTGGTATGCATAATTTCAAGTGCATCATTTAGTATTGACAAATTTTTCATCTTACTGACAATAATGATATTTAATAAAAGTATAGTTCAAAAATTGGCAATTGTTTTATTTTCATCCTAAGCAACATAATGTATGACTTGTGGTTATGAAAAATCTCATCATTTAGTTTTTAAAAAAATTGGTCTAACAGTTTCTCAAGGTTACTTTTATAGCCTGTACAATCTTTCACTAAAAATTAAGTCGTAAGCAGCACTAGAAAGTTTTACATGAAAATGTTATATTAATAGAACTGAATTAGAAAATAATTTTTCAGGCAATTATTGTTGGTTATTTACTCCTTCCAGACATAGAAATATGAATATGATAACTATCTTATGTCATAAGCCAGAAGCATGTGATGTAGTTATTTCACTCTTGAGATTACATTAAAGTGTCTTGTACAAATTATAATCAAATGTTTTATTGGGGGGGGAGGGGAGGGAGCAACTAAGCAGGGGAATTTAAATTTTAAGAAAATATCATATAGCATAGCACAAGAAATTTTTTACAAAAAAAAATGTATTAGAGATAATCCAGAAATACCTTACCTGTCAAGTTTGCTTCAGTTATTTATACCTTCCAGATAGGAAAAAATCAAAATTTGGCCGAAACTTCGGAATATGCGATCTAATTGAGAATTATATATATCTATCTTAGAAATACCGTGAAAAATCGTCCATAGAATTATGAAAAAATATCTTGGTGGCTTAGCTAAATTAATAATGTTTAATAGAAATATATATTTAAAAAGGATTCTGACTGAAGTCCATCCCACCAAAAGTGAATCCCATTTGCTACTTTCCTTATCATTCTAGATTTATCAAAACTATTTGACACAGTCCAGCATAATATTTTCCATACCAAATCTTCTCTAATATTTTCAATCTTTTATCTCTAATCTCTGCTTACAAGGAACACATAAGCTTACAATTTAAAATGTATTGTTTTTATTTTGTAATGTTATGCGAACCTTCCTGAATTAATTAGCATAAACTTATGATACATGAAATTACAAGCAGTACGTTAAAATTAAGCAATAAATTGTTAATTAGTTTGCATAATTATTGAACAATAATGAGAGAAACAATGATGGAGTCTTGTCACATGGCTGTAATATTTTATGTTTTGATTTTGTATTGAAACATTTTTTTTTTCCGAATAATAATTTGGTTCTGATTAATTCCATAAGAAACATGTTCATTCCAATTCAATAGATGTCTCTCAGCAGTGAATTCTTCCCAGAAGGAAAAAAATCTTACTAAGGCGCAATAAATGGAAAAAACAAAATATAATGGTTCTTAAAAAGTGGTAGGTATGTTTTTATCATACAATATACTGTTCACACAACATAATTAGTATGTAAATATCTGAAAGAGATATGGTTCATATCATTTAATTTTTTTTATAAAATAAAGCATTGTTCAAAAATATCTTTCAGTTCTGTAAAGGATTGTCCAGGAGATGGCTGCTGTCTTGTCTTGTAATAGGTAAGATGTTCAGTATTATTGCAGTAGGCAGATAAAGACAATAATGAAATAAAATGTAGTGATCAAAAGTACAGAATTAAGATATTAATTAAATAAGACCACATGGTCGTCACAAAATTTCTAAATAATATATATACAAATAAAAATATTAAATGTAACTAAAAATTTAAAATATTTTTATACTGATATACATTAAATATTTCTTAATGTATAACTAAATAAATTGTACTTGACAAACGTTTTTAGAACCCTAAAATCTATATATTTTTTTTTTTAATCAGAAAATAAGAAAAACTCTAATTTATTAATTATAAAGTTATTTAATAAGATAATAATAGTTCCTGAACCCTTTCTGAAAATTAACTAAAGCTTTATAATAAGTTATTGTGGTTTTTTTGCTGAAAACATATACCAACAGATGACAGAATATCAAATCACATATTTTTTTTATTTTCACTTACCCATACATGTAATATATAGTAAGAGAAAGTATTGAAATATTTTGAATCTGAGGTTTTAAATAAAATACACGTTTTGAAGTCTCCTAAGTTCAATTAGCCAAGTCCTGCAAAGTTGAATTGGTAATTTGTGTGTGTGTGTGTGCATGTGTGTGTGTGAATGTGTGCATGTGTGAGTGGGTGCGTGCTTGCGTGCGTGTGTGTATAAACAGTCTAGCTCAAAAAAGAATAACTAAGTAACATAAAATTTTGTGTGTCTCACTGTCTGTGAGTCTGTGGAGGCTGTTATATAACTCTAATATGAAAAGGTCTACAAAACTTAAATTACATATTTATGATAAGTCTATTCTGGGCTTGTTACAGTAATTTCCTTCGGCTAACTGGAAGTGGCACTTCGTATCATTCATTTTATACATGTTTATAATTTTCTCGAAATCAGTTCAAATGGCATTGATTAAACTTGGTATATCTATGTACAATTAAATGATCTTTAATATCAGCTATATTTTATCCTCATTGAAATCGCCAGTTCAAAATTTCTTCCTCTAAACTACCTTCAATTTTAATTAATTAACTGCCTCTCATTGCAAATAGTAATAAAAAAAAAAGAGGCTCTAAATAAACTAAACAAAGTCATAGAAGATAATGGAGATTAATATAAAAATTATAAATAATAATTTCTGAACATTAATGAATGAATGAATGAAAATAATTTTATTATTCTGGGACTAGTGTCCCTTTAGAACAAGTTACAAATACAGAATATATATTAATATTTTGGTGTGTCCATAAAATACAATTTAATATTTACAGGTTGATTAGGAATACAATAGAGTTATATAATAAAAAGATATAAAAACTTGTAAATATATAATATTCTCCCGATAGTCCACTATACACCATGCAGCCATAGGCAAAGTGGAGAAAACAAGAGAGGAGACCAGGAGTTGAAGGGTTTTGAACGGAAGAAGATAACGTAGATGGTTAAATTGTTTCAGGGTGGATATAGTACGGCGGGAAATTTGGGAGATGTGTGGTTTCCAGGAGAGGATTTGATCGAGGGTAACGCCTAGGTTTTTAATAGTGGTATGGAAGGAGATAGGTGAGTTGTTCAGAAGAAGATTAGGAGGTGCTGAAATGGATTTGAGGAGCGATGGGGTCCGATTAGGATGGCTTTTGTCTTCTCTGTATTTAATGTCAGCTTATTAAGATTTGCCCATGCGCATATTCTATTGATATCTTGTTGCAGTTTCAGGATGGCATAAGAAGAATCTGTCGGATTGAAGGAAAGATAAATTTGGACGTCATCGGCGTATAGGTGATATTCACAGTGTATAATAGAGGAAGGGAGGTCATTGATGTAGATGGAAAAGAGGGTGGGAGATAATGAGGAACCTTGTGGGATGCCTCTGGACAGAGGTAGATACATTGATTGAGGAGGGTTATTAGGAACTACAACGTACTGGGAGCGATCGGTGAGAAAGGATTGGAACCACTTAAGGGTACTGGATGATAAGGATATATTTTTAAGTTTGGACAGGAGGATATTATGGTCAACTGAGTCGAATGCTTTAGAGAAATCAAAAAGGATCAGGATGGTGAGTTTCTGTTGATCTATAGCTGTGTGGAGATCTTGGAAGATTTTGATGAGGGCGAAGTGAGTGGAGTAGTCTGGTCTAAAACAAGACTGGAAGCAGTTCAAATGTTTATTCCGTTCGAGACATTGGGATAGTTGATATTGTACTATTTGTTCTAAAGGTTTGGAAAGGTTAGATAACAGGGAAATTGGATGGAAATCATTAGGGGTTGTGGTTTTAGAGATTTTGTTCAGAGGATGAACAAGAGAGGTTTTCCAGGTGCTGGGAAAAGTGAAACTTTGTAGTGAGAAATTATAGATATGATAAAGGACTGGGAAAATGGATGGAAGTGAGGATTTAATTAATTTAATTGGGATATTATCTGGTCCGAAATCTTTGGTTTGGGATTTACAAATGGATTTAAGGAGGTCGTCAGGGGTAGTATGCAAAAAGAAAAATGATTGGGATTAAAGGGGGATGTATGAGGGTGGAGCTGGTGGTTGGACAGAGGGATCGGATGAACAGGAGACGAAATGAGTGTTGAGTATGTCAGCTGAAATAGAGGTAATCTGGGTTTGGATGGATTTGCCAAAGGATAATTTACGGAGGATTGCCCACATAGCCTTGGAGTTTGGCGTTCTGGATAAGGATTGTTGGTAGTAGTGGGATTTGGCACGGCGTATCATGGATTGCGTACTGTTTCGAAGCAGCTTGAAATTCATGTAGTATTTGGGGAGTCGAGTGCGCTTAAACCTTCGTCTTGCTGCGTCTCTTCGTTTGATACAATTTTTCAACCAAGGGGCTGGTGGGTACTTGATTGTCCTGACTTTAAGAGGAGCGTGACGGTCTAAGATAATATGCAGTTGATTGGTTAAAGTTTCTACCATAAAATCAACGGAGTTAGAAGAGTATATGGAGTCCCATTGGATTGCGTCAAGATCGGACATCAAAGTTTCGGATGATAAGAGATTACGGTTTCTGAAAGATATAGATCGGGGACTAAATAGAGGGACAGGAAGGTTGTAGGAGATCTGTATGAGATTTTGGGCAGACAAAAACGAAACCGGGTGCTGTGATGAGGCGAGGAGTTTATCAGGAGAGTCAATAATGCAAAGATCGAGCCAAGAGTCTGAGTATTGGGTGTGATGGGTAGGGTTGTACGGAACTATATACAGATTAAGAGAGTAGAGGAGGTTTGATAAATAGGCTTGGTCAGAGGAAGGAAATAATAGGTTGGTATTGAAATCTCCGAAAAGAGCAATATTGGAGTAGGAAGGGCTCAGTTCGTAGAGGATGGTCTCGAGTGTTTCATCAAAGCGGATTCTAGGAGGTCGGTAGATGACACTAATGAGCAATAAATATGAGGAGGGGAATATTTCAGCAAAAAGATATTCAATATGTGGGGAGATGGAGAGAGGAGACAAAGCAAGGATTTTGGATTTCATGCTATCATGGACAAAAATGGCTACTCCGCCTCCGATTCTATTTTCTCTATCGTGACGGAGTAGGGTATCGTTAGGGAGTGGAATTTGAGAGGATGTGACCGTGGGTTTTAACCAAGTTTCTGAGACAGCAATTAGGTGGTAGAAGTTGTGGAAGAAGAAATCATGAAATTCATTTATGTGGGCTAAGAGCGACTGTGAGTTGACATGACAGGATAATAAGACATTAGCCATAAGAGATGGTAGATTGGGATAGTGAATCCGGTAGGAGGAGCGAGAGATATGGAAATAACTAGGTTGGATTGATCTGAGATACACCGTAGATGCTAAAACATAAATAGCGAAACTATTGAAAATTAGAAACTAGAAAAAATAGGTAAGAAATAATCTAGATAGTATCCAATAATCAATGGAGATAAGAAACAAAAAAACAGCAGATCCGTATAAACAGAAAACGAAAATATACTCTGGCGAAAAATGAGCAAAAATACTAATAAAATTGCTGCAATTTACACATAAACAAAATTGAAAGAAATATTAAACTTATAACTTATAACAGTTAAGTAAATAGAAGAAAGTTGCTAGAAAATGAGGTGGTGGCTTAAAGGAACGAGAGCAGAGAAGTCAAGGTCAGAAGGTGAATTTATGACAATTACGAGCATACATTTACGACCATCGGTTCTCCTACACTTCTTTTTGCCATCACCAATATTTTATATCTTATTTTTCCAGCTGCTCTCCTCTGTCTTGCAAGCCAGTACAGGTGCCTGTTGGTCGAGGTCATAGCTTCTCGGATGAAAATTTTGTGAATATCATTCTCTTGCCAGCCTATGTGAGGAGTAGATAAATTTCTTATCACTTTACGTTTATGAATTAGCTCATCTCTTAGCGTTTGTCGACCAAATCTGACCAATAGTGGACCAGGAGTATTATCTTGCCGAGTTCTGATCCTCTCTATGCTTTCCACAGTCCACATCTTCCACCTTTAGGCTTAGCCTTAGCTAGCGCTGTGCCCACACTCACTACCAGGCCCATTGGAGTTTCAACAGGTCTCACCGGAATTCCTCTAATCTCTGGGGTTTTAACCAGGTGCTGTTGCTCGATCTGTTTAGCTTTATTTAAAGCCCCGACACTCGTGATTAATATCACTTAACGGCAACCTAATGTTTTCCTGCAGACTAATTGAAATGAAAAAGTATATGTAATCCACTGAATCGAAAAATGAAATTATGTAGAATCTATTTTATTGTCCTTGTGTTAAAGAAGAAGTGGAATATAAAAATATTTAATGAATGAGTAAAACATATTTTTATAATCTTAAATACATTCACTGAAGTTTAATAACATTAGACACTATAATATACTTAACTAATTAAGTATATATTGTCAATGTATTACAAAAAAACATTAAGTAACATTTTAAATTATTAAATTAGTGTATAGTTTGATCACTTTCCCCTCTGTTAAATTATAACATTATGCACTTACCATTAGTGTGATGACTTTACATCTATCTATATTGTATTGAAAATCTCGTAATTGTATTGGGAAAATCTTACAAGGTAAAAAATAAGATTTAGAGATTTAATCAATAAACTCTGTTGTACAGAAATAAATTAAATATATGTACTTTCAAATCTCTCTTTGTGTATAGAGTTCAAAGATTAGAGTATCAAATAGACTGATGGAGTTATGAGATTTTTTGATTGCCTATCATTGGTATAACAAATAGGTTTTGTGTTATTTTGATGTTCTTAATGAGTTATTTTTACTTTGATAAACATTACCGCAATTCTGAAATTTGTTCTTTGGGGTTTAGCTACACTAGAAAAGCACTTCAAAAACTTTTTGTAAAAGACAATATTTTCTGTTCAAACTAGAGCACTAAGTGAAAGTTGTGTGATGTGTGCACCAGATTTTTTACATCATTAGAAGTGAATCTCATCTTTTGAAGCTTAACCATAACAAGCCACAATTAATTTAAACTTAGAGCTTATTACACTATATGTAATAATAGTGTACATATGCAGGCATAAAATAAATTTACTTTAAAAATACATTTCATTGTTATACCTGTTGAGCATGAAACTGAAGGGAGGCACAATTTTCTCACTTTTAAAGTTCATGAACACTACTTTTTTCACCATGAAATACTCGTAAATGAAAGAGCAAGAAAATATAACAGTACGGTGATGGCAAGAAAACTGATTTTTCAGCTAGGCCTGTTGAAACTATATGTTGACTTACAATGTGTTAATCCACAACTGAATTTAGAAATTTTTACTAACTAATCTAAATGTTTTGATTAAAATAAGGTCAGTTGTGAATTTATTTTCAGAAATGGAAAAGCAAAGGGAAAGGGGCTTTCATATTACCACAATCCAGGAACTGAACCACTCCAAATGAAGACAATTGGGCAAGTTCTTGATGAGGCAGCTGAGAAATGTCCAAATCAAGAAGCAGTAATTTCACATTGTGAAAAGAGAACGATAACATTTCAGGAAGCAAAGGAACAAGTAAGTTCAAATGAATGAATATTTGATTTGAAATTTGCTTCTCTTACAATTGATGTGTGTGTATGAGTGTGTGTGTGTGTGCATGTGTGTGTTTTCATATAATATAAATTTACTTTGAAAATAAATTTCATTGATATAAATTGATTTATTTTCAAGGCTGAGCAGTTGGGTGCTGGGTTTTTGAAATTGGGGCTACGGCCTGGTGATAGAATTGCCCTTATTGGAGTCAACACTATACATTGGTATACTACAGCTCTAGCTTGTGCCAAAGCTGGAATCATTATAGTAAGTTAACTTTCAATGAAACTATTTTTTGTTTTGTTTTTTGTAATAATAAATCCATATCATTTGACATCTTACTAACATAAGCACATCCTGTTTTGTTTTCCTTTCCACTATTACCTAGAATTAATTAAAACTTTTGTTATTCTTATAATATTTTCAATTCTGGAATAAAGTATTAAATTTTCTATCTAATTGTTTAACATTAAGATTGTTAATCAAAAGCACATGATTAAAGTCTTTCAATAACTCTAGCTTTCAGTAATTGATTAATAGACCACAGTTGCCTTGATTAATTTTCTAGAATTAGTCGTTAACAGTTAAATACAAAACTGAAAAAAAAAGATATTCATTTATTTTGATACAGTATATAAACAAATTATGGATGAAAAATAAATTTAAAACTAATAAGGAAATTAAAATTGGAGTGATGACAAAATTTAAGAAAATTTTATTTGACTGATTTCACAGCTCATCCTGTATTTGTTCCATTCACATTTTTAGATTACTAACTTATTAAGTTAATAAGATTAACTTATAAGTTTCAGATTATTAACTTATTAGATTATTTAACATTTCTGTTTTAACATTAATTAACCCAACTGGTTTCACTATTAAGTATGGTCATTCTGTTTATTTTAGTTTTTTAGATTATTATATTTTATTTTTGCTTAAACTTTATTGTAAGTTGAATTTCTAAAATATTTCCCATATTAATTATTATTTAACCAAGTTACATAATGTCATTACTTTTCTATTTATTTCAGACTTATTAAAAATATAAATGTATTATTGTAAACTGTTTGTATTGTTCTGTTCTACTACCTGGCCATTTCTGTCATAACAAATCTAAAGATTTATTCTACCAATTTAAATACAACCCACCCAGACCTTATTCAAACCAGTGCCACTGGACTCGAGGTTGTTTAGGCCATAACACTTTTAGCCACTATAGTCTTAGTTAATAAGGAATATCATTTCATACATTAGTGGTATGATAAATTTTAATATTATTATATTGTGTAATGATTTTACCATGATCTCCCAAAATGCTTAATTGCAGATTATTAATCTAATTGAATAATTCTTAATTATGAATCTTTTATTAAGTACTTTGTTTGATTCCTTGTTAATTGTTAAAATAGTTAATTGATTTATTCCTTGATGTTTTACAACATTTTCATAATTCTTTTTTCTAATTGCAATTTTAAAAACCTTTTAAGTTCTATTTCTTTTATATATATATATATATATATATATATATATATATATAAATAGAGCTGAATGGCCAATTGGCCAATTGGCTTAATGGCCAAACTCTGGTGAGGGAGTAAAGGGGAGAGAGATGATTCTAGACAAAATTTCCAATAAAAAAGTTCATTTGATGCCTGGGCCGATTCTAAACGGCAAAAGGAGATAAGACCAATTTTTGTATTTTTTAAGGTAATCACGGTTTTTATTGAATAAGAAAGAATTGCTCAAAAATTGTTCAAGATAATTAAATTATAAGTACACCATTGTAAAGTAGACAAAATGTTTTGAAGAAAACAGTGATTAAATTTAGTAAGACTTTCAGGAGGTCTAATATGGCTGCAGTTACAATACACCCATACACAAACAGCATATAGTACAGTGGTGGTATTAGCCATCCGGAAAGTCCCTTTTATCATTGACCTTAGTAAATTTAATCCCCGTTTTCTCACAAAAATGTTGTCTACTTTACAAAGGTGTACTTTGAATTTAATTACCATAAACAATTTTTGAGCAATTCCCTCTTATTCAATAAAAAACATTACTACCTTAAGAAAAACACAAAATTGGTCTTAACTCTTTTTCCGTTTGGAATTGGTCCATGCATCAAATGAACTTTTTTGTTGGAAATGTTGTCTAGAATCATCCTCCCACCTCCCCTCCCTCTCCCACTCCCAGCCCTAGCCAATAAGAATTGAGACACCCTGTAGACTAAAATGAATCATTCAAACATGAAAATTAACCTAAAGGGATTAGAGATATAACTCTAGAATAGAAATATAAAATTTTTAATATTTAAACATTTTGGACTAACTTGAAATGGGTGAGCTGTGTGAACTCAGTGAAAGATCAGTATAACTCATACTCATACTGTTTTTAAGAAGTTGTTATCTTTTCTCCTGCTTTGGGTGTAATTATGTGTCCAGCTGTAGCGTGTAATTATTTGTACTGTTAAATTGGCTGTGGATCTATCCTGGAATTGGGAGATCCACCTATAACACACCTACCACTAAAAATATAGGTACTCATTATTAATTTATTAAGATGAGTATGATCTTTGTCAAATCACCACTTAGCAATCATTAACCTAGAAACAATACTAAGAGAGTAATGGAACAGGTTTTTATTTTGTTTATTTATTTTTTGGGTAACTTGAAAGTACTTAGAATGTTTATTTCATTAAAGGTGATGCTGAACCCAGCCTACCAAGCCTCTGAGATAGAATATGCTTTGAAGAAAGTGGGAGCTAAAGCTGTAGTCTCAGACCACAAATTTAAGACGCAGAACTTTCCTGCTATTCTCATGTCATTGGCCAATGGAATGATTTCAGCACCCCATGGCCAACCACTCTCCTGCCCTGAACTGCCCGACTTGTTCTACGTAATAGTAGCCACCGAAGAAAATCTACCGTAAAACCAAACCACATACAGTAATTTAAGAAGTGATTATCAAATAATATTTTGATTTATTTTATCATAAGATTTTCTTTTTCTTTTCAGAGGTTGCTACAGATTACAAGATATAATGACATTGTCTAATGAAATAGAAACAATCAGGGATATTCAAGAAAAAGTACAACCAGATGATCCATATTGTATTCAATTTTCATCAGTAAATATTTTCAATTATTATAGATAGATTAACATTGAGCTGATTGATAAATTCCATTCAGTGATACATTTTCAAAACATTTGTCTATAAGAAATGTATTGCAATTCTATATATTTAAAACAATAAGGATGTTTTCAGAAGGTTATATAAATTCACTAATAATCAAAATTGCATCGTTTATCAATATATTATTAGTTTAGATGATTTTATTAATTACATTTTAAGTATAGTAATTAATTTATCAAAACACTAGACACTTTATTTATAATTTTCATAGACTAATTATAAAATTTAGTTCATGAATATATTTTTATTAACAAAACTATTTTCAATGCAAAAGAGCTGCTGTTATAGTAAATCCATGCTTACTAGAAATAATAAATACATGCACACACACACACACACACACACACACACACACATATCTATATATATATATATATATATATATATATATATATATATATATATATATATATGTATATATATATATATATATATATATATATATATATATATATATATATATATATATATATTTAAACATAATTATTTAATTGGGAATAAGGTCACTTATTAATTATTCAATAAACTACTAAATGTTCATTGCTTCTGTGTTTATTCGATCCCGTTTTTTTTTTTTTTTATTTATAAGTTAACAATGGGATCTTCTTCAAAGCTAGAACAACAAATAGCTCAATTGGTACACAATTATGCTTCCATATGTTTCTAATAACAATTATTTCAATATTATAACCTACTTTTAAAATAGAGCTTCGATACCTCAGGCCAAGGACACACCAACAGTCTCAGCACCGTCCACCAGCACATATATTAAGCTACTGGACCGCTAAGTGTCTGCCCACCCCGGTTCTGAGCCCGAAGGCAAAATATTACATACAAAACAATGAAAATTACATCTATTTTATATAAAACAATTGAAAAATGCATCCATGATAAATATAACGGCTTCAAAAAAATATATCTATCAACAACAAAACCAGCTTGTATAACATCTCTTGGTTATAAATTAACATATCCAAACCAATTAATATTAAATACATACATATACACATATCTTGGAACTAACTTTGAAATTGTCAAACATAAATAAATATCAACTACTTAAAATATATGTACATTAGTCATCTTATAAATGTCAACATTATAAAATCATAAAACAATATTAAAAACTATTAAAAAACTCAACTATAGTTCCCATTCAGTAATTGTATTTTCACCTTTACCATTACCACCACTACCATTTATATTTTTATTTACATACACTATTTCATATTTTTATTTTTTGATAACACTAAAGCTTGTCAATAGCCATTAAAAAAGAAGGAAGAAAATCGGTTGAATAATAGAGGTGAAAAAGGGGCTGAATCGTTTTGTGCTTGCCTATTTATATAATGATGATAATTATGACCGATACATTATTTCAAATAATATTATTATCATTTTTATAGGGAACTACTGGCTCTCCAAAAGGTGCTGTTCTGTCTCATTTTGCATTAGTCAATTGCTCATACTATTTGGGAAAAAGAATCGGTATTCAGGAAACGGTAAATATACAATTATCACTGTATTTTTTAATTTATAATAATATTTGAATAATAAGTTATGATCATAGATTAAAATTATATTTATAATCTTTTTCTAGAGTTGAGATTAAAAGTAAAAGTAAGTGTTGAGACAGTCTGCCGATGTATAAAACTGCTAGGTTTTACCGACAGTAAATCTCAATAGTTAGCCTCTTGAGGTTCCTAGGATCCCATGGGGCCTATATATTCTCTAATATAACAATATTATATTTTCACATTTTAGGCCAATATTTAAACAGGAATATTCCGGGTGTTGACAAAAAAGTTAAGATGGACGGGACGTGTGGATCAGAGTAATCCACCAGGAAGCCTCTACACAACAAAGAACGCCTCAATAGTAGGCAAAAGACCAATTAGAAGGCCAAAAACCAGATGGATAGATAGAATAAACAATAAACAGATCCAATAGAGCTGCATGCAGATAACTGGAAATAAATATTCTGATATAGGCAGGGATGGAGAAGCCTAGTTAAGGTGGCTAAAGATCTATAAGGTCTATAATGAAAAAAAATATATGAATTAATATTATTTATTTTGTATCTTGTTTTTGTGTTTTTTTTTCTTAAATAAATCTGTACTTCAGCTATAGGTAAAAAATAAATAATAATAAAGTTGATCATTCTTATAATTTGATAGGTTTAAAATACCCTAATTAGTATATATTTAGTATTTTTATATTACCAAATTTTCAAGATTTAGTTTTATATTTAAGTCTGATCATATATCAGAAGAACGATACATCAAGATAGAATATTACTTTCTAAATTACAATTATAATCTATATTGTAAATGGCCTGAAAACTAAGACAAAACCAATACAAAATTAATATTGAATAAAACATGGATAATAATGAATCAATCCCATATTGAAATTGTTGAGTTTTCAAGATGTAAAAAAGAAAAGTTTTACCAGCTGAAAAATTCCATAATTTTATAAAGCTTGAAATTACAATTAATTTTCATTGGTAAACTTTTACAAAAAATTAATTTAAAAAATTTCATCGCCGAAACTGTTTCAATTTTAAAAATTAAACTTGGTTTACTACTCATCTTATCAATGACAAATAAATAAAATTTTAGGAGATATCTACTCCTATAAAAAATGAAAAAAATATTAAATTGTATTTTTTTTTTCATGAAGCCAAATAAGTTCACTTTTGAACCAAATTTGGAATTATTTTTTTATGGAAAAGGGAAATTTTATCTAAATCTGGACAAACTAATTGAGAACAAATTCATTCCTTCGTGGGTCATTATCTATTGAAATATCATCTCAATGAGATAAATGTAGAGTAAGATTCAATTTACTTTCCATAGTGGATTAACTGGCCTCATAAGGCTCCATATAATGAAAGAACCCATTGGAGTTTTGAGGTCTTATAATACCCCTACTAGAATATTTCGGTAATGACATATTTCTAAATATAACAAGAAAAATCTAAACAAGAGTGAGGTTGAGCTAAGGTGAAAATTTTGCCATCATTCAACCTAATAACAATATAATGCCTAGGATTTGATTTGCATACCAAACAGATACAAGTTTGTCAGTAATACGGTGTGATATATTTTTTGTTTCCACATCAATATAGCACAATATTTAATTTTTTTATTATTCCATAATTTTACTTTTTTTTTTTTTTTTTTTCTAGCCCTTAACATTATGTCTTCCAGTGCCTCTTTTTCACATATTCGGAACTTCTGCAGGAGTCATTTTAGCATTGAGTTATCAGATCACTATGGTTTTCCCTGCTCCAATCTTTTCAAAAGAATTTCTAATTGATTCTCTTCAAATTTATAAGTAATATAATATTGTGGTTTTGTAGAATATTATTTTATCTTTTACTGTCATAATAAACACTTATTATTATCTTTTTCAACATCATTATACATAATTTTTGTGTTGTATTTTTAATTTGTTTGTTGCTCCCAAAACCATTGATTTCTATTAAATATTAATATTTTTTTTCTAGGACAGACATTATATTTGGAACACCTACTATGTTTCTTGATTTATACAAAGAATTAGATTCATTACTACCTAAGTCACCGAAGCTACAAGAATCTTGTGCTAGAGTCAAGATAATAGGAACTGGTGGATCCCATATAACACCAGATTTAATAAAAAAACTTTCGAAAGTTCTTCCTAATGGAGATTTTGTTGTAAGTATCATTATAATTAAAATGTTCTATAATACCATAGAATGGCCAATATTTATGAAATTTGATATTCATGATTAACCAGCTAAAAATTCTTTTAGGGGTAATTAAAACTCTCCCTCGCCACCCTTCATTGGGAGTTTATTGGTCTGGAATGATGTGACTGATATTTATAAATCTTTTAATGTATTTTATTTATTGGCTGAGTAAAAATACTTTTATTTCCTTTTATTACTATTATTTTATGATATTTTATTTATGATTTTATGATTAATATTTTCAAATCTTTTATTGCTTCACCATCATCATCATAATCATTCCTCCCTCTACCACGGTTCAGTGTGAGGGTTCTGCTCATAGAGTCTGGCCCAGCTGTCTCTCACCTGCCCCAACTCTATTCTTTTACTCCAATCCATTCCTTGCTTCCTGAATGCCTCTTTTACACTGTCCTCCCAGGAGATATGAGGCCTCCCTCTGGGTCTTATCCCTTCCGCGTGGGTCTTGTATGTCTTCCTGGAACTCACATCTGGATCCATCCTAAGAAGATATCTAAACCACCTTAGTTTGTGCTCCTCCAGAATGGTCTCCGCCGGTTTGACGTCGAGATTAGCCCTTACGGTGGCATTCCGTGTCTTTCGTTCGATTTTATGCAGATACCTCATTTCCGTGGCTTGTATATGGCTAATATGTTTTGTGGTGAGGGTCTACAATTCTGAAGAGTAAGTAAAATTGTTCTTTAAGCCACTTCTTTGTTTATGTAGCTGCTCTCATTGAGATGAGCTCCCAGATATTTAAAGCTCTCAACCTGCTCTAATCTCTGTCCTCCAACCCTTAGTACACTCATTATCCTTCGAGGTTTCTTTCCAATTCTCATGCTTTTAGTCTTTCCCAAATTAATCTTCTTATTTACTCTGAATAATTCCTTTTGGAGGTCATTTATGTTATGTTGGAGGTCTTGATCATTGGTAGCTAGTAAGATGAGGTCGTCAGTGAAGGCTAACAGGGAATATCTGGTAAGGTGGAGATTGATATTTATTGTTTCAATCATGAAAATAATTTTAAAAACTTATGATTAAAAAAACAAAGCTTCAAAGTACAATCAATTAACGTTTCTTACTTAGTAACTTTTTTTCAGGGTGCGCTTGGAATGACTGAAGCAGGTGCTGCATGCTTCTTATCCTCCAGGAATGACAAGTTGGAAGACAAATATAACACAGTAGGTCGGGTCATAGATCATTTGGAAGTAAGTTCCCGTCTAATTTTAAAATTATTTATTCAAATTATATTAGTGATCATTATTAATTAATTACCAAGCTTAATAAAAGCTGAATCAGACTATAAAACTATGAGAATAGAAAAACAAGGATAGAAACAAACTAAACACATCTACAACTAGATATAATACTATCGTATATGCCCATATAGTGTAGTATTACTGGCACTCAGGAGGTTATATTTTAATGAATATCATCAAATGAAACATATCATTTAAAAACCATTAGACCCACTTCGGTTCCTTGCTAAGGTACCATTTTCGAGATAAGCCATAATTCATTCTGAATGTATATTAAGTGCTACAATTGCAATGCTCACGCAATGGATACTCATCACGCTTTATTTAAATTAAAAAAAAAAAGAAAAATATTGCTATTTATTGTAGTCTACAATAACCTAAAAATCTATGGAAAAGATTAACAAAGGAGAATTGTTACAAAGCCCTTAGAGCACCATGGATAATATAAATTATACCTACGATGACTAGAAAGTTTTCCAAATTCCATTATTATAGTTATTATCATGACTCTGAAATCCGGTGTAGAATCCTGGCCTCCTCCAGCAGCTTCTGCTAATTATCCCTTGTAGCCGCCATCCAATTATGAAGCCTCAGCATACTTGTTACCTATGGAGCAACACCATCAGCCCATCGCAACTTTGGCCTTCCTCTTTTCTTGGTACTATGGAGTGGCTCTATCAGAAGTTGTCTTGGTGGATCCTCACTGTCCATACTGACTACATGTCCTGCCTATCTCAGTCTTGCTATGTTGATCACTTGGACTGTATCAGGCTTCTTAAACATGGTGTACATCTCCTGATTTTTCTCCTTTTCTAGTCTCTTCTGAAGAGAACACTACCATAAATACATCTGAGGATTCTTCTTTCAGTGACCAGGAGTGCCTGTTCACAAGCCCAAGAAGTAGTCCAAGTCTCACAACCATACAGCTAGACTGAACTCACTATCGTCTTATAAAGACATAACTTTGCTCTTCTGTGGAGAGCTCTACTCTGGAACTGCCTTGTAATAGAAAATAATATTGATTTGCTGCCATGATCCTATGCTGGATCTCTTTTTTAGGGGCAATGTTTTGAGTTACCAATGAGCCAAGAATTACAAAAACATTATTTTTCTCGAATTGGTACTCTCCGAAAATCACCTTTTCTCCAGGCAATGGCACTTCACCAAATTCCATACAAAATGGCTACTATCATGGGTCTTACTTTAATCTTTGATACATATCATTTACATTTTATTTGCAGTGATTTAAAATCATTGTCTATCCTTTCTAGTTGAAGTGTTCAATCAAAGAACACATTTGACAACAAATACTCATCGAATTTTTGGTATCTTCTTCAAAAGATACATTTTTATATTTTTCAAAGCTTTACACTTCCATATGAGTACACATTAGTATGCATGTATATGTAAATATAAAAATATGGTGTACTATGTACTATTTAAATAAATATATGGTAAATTAGTTTGAAACATCAATATTGTCATGTTACATATTGTAGGTTAAGGTAGTTGATGGAGATGGAAGAATGGTACCTTTTGGAACTCCTGGTGAGGTCTGGTATAGGAGCTATAGTAACCTACTGGAATACTGGTCAGATGAAAGAATGACAAAAGAAGCCAAAACTAAATCAGGGTGGTTTAAATCTGGGTAAGATCATACAGAAATAAAAAATTAAAGAAAAAAACAAACACAATTCTCCTATTCATTAGTAGAAGTTTCAAGAAACGACATTTTATATAAAAAATATCTAAAACAAAAATACCAATTTTTTTTATTTTATTTTGTCCTTACCTTATTGACTCCTGAAAACATGAGTATTGACTCATGTGAACAAGAATGAATATTTTAAGTTAAGCAAGTTTATAATTTCAGATCAAGTTAACCCATAAACATTTCAATAATTATCAAGGACAGGAGCCAACAAATTTCCCAGCCCTACTAATTTCAACTATTCTTATATGCACAAAAGCTTTGTAGCACAGGTAGTTTTGTACAGTCATGAGCTGAGAGAACTCTTACTGTGTCACAACATAGCATTTGGTTTCCATCATTATTTTAACCATCAGTACCTAGAAGGTGATAAAAGTCAAAGTTATTTACTCAGCCAACTCTGCTAATCTGCATGTAGGAAACAGGAGACCTATATCCTTATCAAGGAAATGAAGATTGGTCCAAAGCCCTCATGCTCTGTAAGGAATTGTGAGACCCAGTAGTCCCAGAGGAACTTTACTGTGCTTCTAAAGATGTTTTAACAGTAGTTAAATACTTTCTCAACATAGAATTTTGTGGTTGTCACCCAGCAATGGTTCCATTCTTTGTAATATCTTCTCAGATAGTTTTCCATATATATTTTCCATTTTCTTCGGTCCTCTGTATTCTTTACCAAAATAAAATGCCTAGTAATGATGCAGTGTATAATGTTGGATACAATCTGTTCAGAAAAGTCTGTTTGTAAAAGATACAAAGTAATATTTTCAACTAGTGTAAGTCATTTGTTTTTTACTCCTTCACTACCAAAAGAAGATAAACCTTGTATTCATGAAAAAATTAAAGAAATGTTTGTCCTAAAAATTTTCACTCCCATTTTACTTTGAAAAGAAGGAACAAACTAGGTTTTCTGTTTGTCTACTTTTCTCTAATCAAATCAATGTGAGAATTAGATAAAATTTTATGTATGTGAGTTGGTATCTAGAAGGTCTCGTATCAGTTATATCAAATTCCACATAATACCTTTGTTTACTAATGTGCAAATATATTTTGCTTTACACACCTACATTTCAAAAACTGCTCTTCTGATTTGTTCTAAAGTTAAGGGATAATTTAAATTGATACTGGATCATTGGTTAAAAATATAGATTATTAACTTTATTTCTATTGATTAACATTATTATTTGCACAATGTGAATTAAAAAGAAAATCTTATTAGTCTAGAATTTTTTATTTATTTTATTTTAGAGATATCATAGTTCTACGAGAGGATGGTTATGCTTCTATAAAAGGAAGAATTAAACATATGATTATACGAGGTGGAGAAAACATATTTCCTATAGAAATAGAAAATTTTTTACAAACCCATCCTGACATTTTGGAAGCAGAAGTGAGTAAAATAACTTAGAAATTGGAAAATGTGGTTAATAATCAGTAAGATAAAAAATAAATAAATAAAAATACACGAAATATAATACTTTTAGAGATAAATTTCTTATTTTTTTTTTTTTTTCACGTGCTTACATTTAGTTGCTGAATATGTATTTTTCCATTTTGTGTGATTTCTGATTTATTATTCAATATTATTTTACATTCTACTAATTTTGTACTTTGTTATTTAATATGTGATAAATATGCAATATAGAGCTTTGTAAATAAATTTATAGGTTTATGGTGTTGAGGATAAAAGATTGGGAGAAGAAATAGCTGCGAGCATCAAACTGAAACCATTATCTAACTTAACTGAAGCCAATATAAAAGAATATTGCAAAGGAAAGGTAATTTTAGAATTAAATATAAGTAATAAAAAAAAAGTTCATTTTTTCTTCCAAATAAATAACAAGGCAGCTTATTGTGAACTCCAGTAATAAAACAGTTGATAATAATTCAATGCATTTATGAATTTTTCCATTTTGATGTAACTTAAATGAAAACCAAGGTGGCACAAATTATAGAGCCATATTATTTCCCATAATGAACCTTTGAAATCAAGAAAAAAAATCAATCTCTTTCAAACTCTAAAATTTTTGTTTCAAGATACATAGATTGTAAAACTCAAATTAAAAAAATCTTGTCTACCATTCGCATAAAAAAAAAAAAAAAAATCATAATCAGATAAGTACTATCAGACAAATATATGGTGTTTTAGACTTTGCAACATTTTTTAAAATGTATCCAGGACATCTTCCTATGGAAACATATTTTATTTTGTCTTGTTTTAAACTCAACAATCTCCTGTAATGGTAGTCGGTGAAGTTGATAAATTTATTTATGGCTCTGTATTGAAGAAATAATGAATTAGTAATATTTACTAATTTTAATATAGGTCAAGATTAGAAGAATAATATCCTAGAGATAGCTTTTGATTTTGGGCATAGCTGCTTGTTTTGGCTTGTATGCACATATGTATGCTTTTCAACTATACTATCTATTGGTTCCTGCATAGGAATAACTTCTATTGAAACTAACCATACTTGGAAGTTGTGAATGTAACTTATCATCTTTGTGATTATGAATATAAAACTCTCTTGCTACTAATGTACACACAGATCTAGTCATGTATGATGATCTTCGCAAAGCTGAACAGGAATGAATTAAAAATTAGGAATAAATAGAAAGAAGCTAGAAATAATACTTTTCAAAAGTATTATGTATTCTTTATATTTTTGTCCCTGATTTGTGGAACCACCTCGGCCTCCTGGGGCAACCGTCTTGGTTGCTCTGTCTATGCTAAGGCCCTGTGTATACAGTTCATTGATTATAATAATGTACCGAAACAGTTTATATATTAGTTAATATACTTTTATTTTTCAGATCGCTCATTTTAAAATACCAAAATACGTGAGGTTTGTTGATAACTTTCCACTCACAGCAACTAGGAAAGTACAAAAGTTTTTGCTGAAGGAAACACATGAAAAGGAGTTGAATGAACATAAGTAATTATGAATAAATTAATTTTTGGGCCGTATTAAAGTTTGCACAAAACACCACTTTTTTTTTCTTTTTTTTTTTGTACATTATTCTTTCATAAGTTTCTCATTTCTTCTAAATTTATTTAAATCACTTTTGAATAATGTGTGACATGTATATTAAGTGCAATATATTGACTCCATAATCTATTAATATTATAACTTTGTAATTTGGAATAATATTCATTAATAAAAAAGGAAATAAATTAAATTTACAATGATCTTATTAATTTATTAAACAGACAAATTCAGAATCCCCCTTCACCTACTGTGAAATCCTTACTTTAATTATAATGAGCTAGTGTAGATCATGTAACTTTGAATTGTGTAAAACAGTTAAGCTTTGCCAGAGCAAAACTCAAATTAAACCATATTCAATTCAACGCCTAACACATTACCAAAAATCCCCTAATGTTTTCTCATGTCATTAAAAACTGATAATATAACAAACTAAGTATATGGCTGGAAAATAATATATTTCTTAATGTGAATTAAAATTATGAATAATTGAAAAATATCAATTGAACCATTTTTAACTATAAAATACTTCAAATGGATTAACATAAATGATAATTACTAAAACTAACTATTAAATATAATAGAATAGAATATAACACTAATAATAGGAGAGTGGGAACTCGAAGCCTTTTTGTTTTAAATTGGCATGAATGTCATGGTGCTTAAGAAGAAAACTGAATCATTATTAAAACTGATGAAACTGCTGCTGAGATTATCTGAAAAAATAAAACAATAAAAGGCATAAATAAAAATAAAATATGCATGTGGCTGTGTGTGTGTGAATACATAAATATTTCAGTTGTACTTATACTTAGTATACAGTTATATTTGAATTGAATATGGTTTAACGGTACTAAATCCTGTGTGGAGACAAGACCTCTTACAACTTTGAACAGAACTTCCAGTCAATCCTATCCTACACTGCCGTCTTTCAGTTCTGGATCCCATTAATGCAAGCATGGATCATGCATTTGCAATTACACCATCAATCCAGTGCAGCCTTGGTCTTCCTCTTCTTCGTTTGCCAAATATTTGTTCTAAGAGAATGTTTTTGGGACCTGATTTTCAGACATGTATAATCGACAACTTACTTAATAAGTGTCACCTCATCAGCATCTCCAGCTGCTATATTCAGCTGCATAGCTGCATTAATTCAGCATTTGTTCGCTGTCTCCAGACCCAGTTTATATATCTTGCACCAATGATTCTTCTCTGAATCCATCTCTTAAATCTAAGCGAGACCTGTTCTTGATTCCTGGTAGTGCTACAGCATTTCGTAGCATAAGTAAGTACTAACCTTACCAACGTCTTATACAGGCAGATTTTGGTGGCTCAATATACTCTTGAAATGCCCAGCAAATCCATGATAGCATCTGTTTGCTGAGACCAAATTTCCTGTGCACTGTCATTCTAGGAATTCACTTGTGATCCTAGATAAATAAATTCATCCACTCACTCGAAGAAATATGACCTAATATGTATCTATGATTCCCCATGGGGAGTGGTGGTCATGTATTTTGTTTTTGTCTCATTAATAACGAGACCCATTCTTTCAGCTTCCCGTTAGAGCTCCAAGAATACATTTTTCATGGCTTTATAGTTTTGTTCCACTACATCTATGTCATCTGCGTATCCAAGGATCATTGCAGTTCTATTAAAAATTTGAACCTCCAACTTGGATTCTAGATCTTCTTACTACACATTCCAGGGCCAAATTAAAAAGTAGAGATGCAAGACAATCTCCTTACCTCAGTTGTTTATGGGTGCAGAAACACTCTGAGGTCATACATTGGACACGAACCACACACTTTACTCTCATTATAGTCATGTGTATTAGCCAAATGAGCTTCACAATAATTCCCTGTTTCAAGAGTCCTCTATAGAGTTTTTCTCTCATTACACTAGCGTACACAGCCCGAAAGTCAATGCAGAGGTGCTGCATATTTATCTTATTCTCCCTACATTTTTCCAGTGGTACTCTCAGTGTGAAGATCTGATCTTTAGTGGATTTTACTTTCATAAATCCTGCCTGGTATCTGCCAGTGACATCTTGAGCAAAAGCTAGGAGTCTCTCAAAGATTATGCAAGAAAAATCTGATACGGACTAGAGAGTAGTGAAATGCAACTATAATTAGTGCATTTTAGAACATCTCCTTTTTTATGAACTTGGCATATTATAGTTTTACTCCATTCATTGGGCATTTTCCCCTGTTCCCACGCATCCATCAATAGACTGTGTATATATTTCATGACTTTCTCACCACCACACTCCCACCACAGATCCCAAGCATCTGGATAGCATTCCGATGCATATTGTTCATCTTTCAAGACCATTCAATAGAAAAATAGATTTAGACATGGATAACTTTTATTTTCAATATGCCGTACAGACAGCCATGGAAAGAGCAGGATTAGTTAGAGATGGGATTATTCTTAATTTGATGATTCATATACTAGCCTACAGGGATGAAGTAATAATAAGATAGTTATAAAATAATATTAAAGATACCCTCCAAAGACTCAAGATAAAAATAAATGAAGAATAAGACTGTTAAGAGAAAGAAAAAGTGATCATACTCACAGCAGAATTCTGTTGTACATACTTTGGAGGTGGTTAAAAGTTTTCAATACCTTGGCTCAATCATCAATAATAGCCAGGATGTAAGGGAGAGAATCAGAAGAACTCTAGCTGAGAGTTATGAGTTCTTCCCTATCGATGGATTATTTAAACTGTCTGTTTGTCAGGGTTGCCCAGAAGAGGATTTCATGGCGCAAAATTTTTGAGAGGTGTATATTTTGCCGGGGTTATGAATTTTCGTAACAAGGGATAAGAGAGGACCATAGAACGGAATGTAGCAAGTGTAGTTGTAAATGATCTACGATTTTTCTAATTCTACGTTAGCTTCTTCTGTTTAAGAAAAGATGAGCAATAAAATATCTTGGAAGGAGGGAGCAGGTAGGTTCTTGCGCCATCGACCTTGGGGGGATGGGCACACCTGATGTTTGTCAATGATTCAGACCGTTAATAATAATTCACAAAACATGATAAAAGAGTATGTATTTATTAGTTATTTATACTTACAGTGCATAAGAGAGGAAAATCAAACCGAAAACATCCCAAAGCTGTGAAGTCTTCAACTGTTTGAACTCTAAAGTGAAGCATGATCCTTTTCTAAAAATCATTTCATTCTTTAAGTACGTTATTGGTAATTCATTCAGTTATAGCTATTCATTTTTATTTCAAGTTGGCTTAAATAGAATACTATATTTGAATATAAAAATAAACACAAGATTGTCAAGGAGTGATAGAAAGAAGAAGAATAAAAGGTAGATCAAGAAAGACAAGGAAGAAAATAAGAATAGTATTTGATGACTCTGTTAGAGGAATAATCTATAGTAATCCGGAAGGCATTAGAGAATTTAATTTAAGGAACGCACATTAGTGGATAACTCAAAGAAAATTCGTTTTGGTTTCTTAAGCATACATTCCAAGTTAATCTATAATCTTGAATGTTCAGATCATTAAAGGATCTAATTAACCAAAAAAAAAATCTATACTTTTTATAAACATTTATTTAAATGTATCCTCTGGACTGTCACATAGTTTGACAAGGTGATATAGAAGATCTATATTGAACGAGCTATAAAAAACCTGGAAAAAGAGCCATTGAAAACTAGAAAAGCTCCAGGATGGGGTAGTGTAGTTAGAGAATTTATAAAGTGTGGAAAGAGGGATGGATCTAATAAGATCGTTCGAAATAATTTTTCTAAAAGCCTGGAATGAGAAGCGAATTCTTACGGAATCGGAATATAATTTCATAATTTCCGTCTAAGCCTTATAGTTTACAAAATGTATACGTCCATTCTTGGAAGTAGAGACCTTTTGAGGAGCCACTATTGGGAAAGAATCGAGCTGGTTTTCCACCAGGACGACAAACACAGGAGTACACATTTTCCTCCAGAAATGTACTAAGAAAATGCTGGATATAATCGATGGGATCGATATAAAACTATGTTCCTTGATTTCCTTAATCTTAGGGCAGAATTTTACTCAGGACCAAGGGACAAATTGTGAGGGACATTAAGAACTAAGATTGTTCCAATAAGCCTAATAGAAGCCGTTAAGTCCACATAACCATTCATAAAAATAATCGTCAGTCTAAACGGGCAGGAATCATTTTAACATACAAAATATATTGGAATATGTTGGTTTATATGGAAGAAATAATGGAAATCTGCAAAAGTCGAACTGAAAGGACGTTCCTAGGGCGAAGATATTAGCTCCCTTTCGTTAGACATTCAGAGCTTCTTCTATATTCAGATGATATTCTTCTCAATGTAATGATATTACATCGAATCGTGATGGAGCTTCGTAGAAAACAGATTGTTATTGAATACTGGCGAAAGCAAAATGCTTCAGATAGGAAGGGTAGAGGAAGATATGGAGGTGTTCTGAAACGGAGAAGAATTGGAAGTAGACTCGGATTTCAGTTACCTCATTACTGTTATAGAACGGTATGGGGGATTCAGAAACCCTATATAGAGTATGTAAGGTAAAAACTCAATCTAACATGAGTAATATTGCTATTGTAAAACCAGAGGTGGGCAGAAACCGAAGCAACACATCTTTATGTCAGCTGGATGTAGACAGCTAAACAGAAGAGCAGCGTGACAACTACGGATATAAAATTTATCCGAAGAATTGTGGGGAAAAGAAGGAAACACTGTTTCCTCAAAGAGAGGATCAGGGAGGAACTACGAGGTCCTAGAGGCTCGCCAGCGGAACTGGTTGCTAGGATTGAGGAATACAGAGATTCTCTGAAAACTATGGACTATACCTCTGACGATGCAAGGCCTCGATGCCGTTCTAGGATGTCGTACCTGAAATAGACCGTTTGAGAAAATGGGGAGAACAGTTGCGATCCTAGTTAAACGCTTCCCTAAGTTGATAAATGCGTGATGAGTGATGAAAAAAGTAGAAGAAACAACCATTTTGTCAAGGTATATTAAGTGGCATATTTGAATGTTTTTTGTTATGTATAAATCCAAGTCATACACGTTATGTTATGTGACTTTCATTTCTCGTAAAAAATTACTTACATTTCTTAGAAGCCTCCTTGATTTGTCGCTAATAATTAATTTGTACAGTTTATCATCGAATTTTTTTGCCTGAAAATAAAAATATATCATTAATAATATAATTAATTAAACAATAAATAAATTAATAATTAGTTATTAAAAGTGTTTTTTTCCCCTTAAATAATCAATTATTTAAAGAAAATTATGTATTTCAATGCACAATGTTGGCCGAGCGGGCTAACGCATGTGCACAGCACCTCGTGTTGCGCGGCAACCTGATAACAAAAGTTACGAGATATATTATGAGTTCGGTGACAGTACCAAGTTGATACAGAAAGCTACTATATATATCTATATATATATATATATATATATATATATATATATATATATATATATATAGAGAGAGAGAGAGAGAGAGAGAGAGATAGAGAAATAGAAACTTAATTTTAGTAAATAATTCAATTTAAATTAGTAAGAATAAATTCCAATTCTCAATTAAAAAATGCTGCTTTTTTTTCGTAAATGGTTTATTGGGACATATTACAATCTGTCACATACAATAGTAATAGTGATAAAAGAATAGCTCATTCACTCAATGTACAATAAATAAAAATAAATAAACTGCAAGACTATTGATAAACAGAAAAAACTAAACTAATCAAAATAACAACTTAAATACACACATGCTTTTATACATTATTTATAATATTTATAAAATTCATTCACACAAGATTTCCGATACAAGCCTATTCCCGCATTTGTGTAAGGAAAGGCAGGACTGTAGAAGATCCCAGCGCCTCTCACTCAGCCGCATTATTGGTATTAAGAACCAGTGAAGGCTGAGCAGAGGCGTTATAATCAGACATACATATCAATATATGTTTACAACAGGTCTCTGAGCAACTGCCGCTTTAACCTTCGAGGAGGATTGTAGTGATGGGAAGAGCTAGATACGGATTTTGCAATGGATTTGGATGTTAAGTAATGTTTTGATGGAATCTGAAAAAAAAAAACAGGAATAAGGTATAGGACAAATGGGATATTAACGTCATGGTGTAGGGTTTTGTTTGTTACATAGAACGGAGCATCAACTATTCGAAGGAATTCGGACTGAAAGGATTGAATGTGTTTGATGTTAGAAAATGTTGGTGTTTCCCAGAGTTATAGTCCTTAGGTCCAAATAGGTTTCAATATTTTCTTGTATATCAGTAATTTGTTTTCAATTGAAAGTTAATATTTTCTGTTAATTAGTCTATATAGCTGGCCATTTCGTCAGTTGAGTTCTTGTATTTAAGTCTAGTTAATAATTGCTAAAGAAAATAAATGAAATAGCCTATTTCGTTTATTTTCTTTTATCATAACTATAAAATTAGAACCTATTTCAAATAGGTTATAATTTTTAAAAACTAGTGTTTATTACTCCTCCAAGAATTGACGAACGTAAACACGTTAGGTAGAATCCAGTACGATTTCATAAATAATCGAAATACAGAAATATATAAGTGCATTTTTTTTCGCATACATTCACAATTACAAATAAAATCAAGTAGAAAGCTCATAAATGTGGTAGTTAACGTGATAACAGTTGTGGTTATCGTTGGAAGGTACTGTCAACTAAAAGAAACCCGATAGTATGACAAAGGTAGCAAATGTCACTCTGTCGCGCAGTTTACACGATTAAAGTTTTTTTTTTTACTACTGTTTATTTCTCTGCTAGTTCCATTTTGATATTCATAAAACCCATCCAAGTAAATAAAATAATTCAATACTAAGTATTATTATAATTATGTTATGAACTTTGTGTGAAATATTAGGATTTATGATAATGACAGTTGCAGTTAACTTAAAAATAATTACCATCAGACTCCCTTTTCTGCAAGTGTAGCAGATGTTCCAAATGCAGATTGTACTTAAAAACATCCAATACGTGACGTCAATTTTCATAAATATGTCATCTATTTTTATGACAATATAGATCCGAGAGATGAAGTACAACAGAGAGGATAATAATATTGAACCGAGCTGGAAACTGTAACAATAGTTAACGTCTCTGTTAAAGGAGCAAAGCAGCTCGTGGCATTGACACCACCGTTCAGCGACCAATTCATTTATTGTTTCGCTGAGAAATTCTAACCTCGTTTTGGCCAAACAGACTAACGTTGTGAACTGGGACGCCACTGCGTAGATGTCAAGCGCAAGTAAGTAGAACAAAACGCAACTGGGACTCTTAATTAACATATCAGGGAAAACTGTCACTTCATATACGAACGATACGATCTCCATTATCACGATGACGATTAAACTAAATTCCCATCGCTCTTTCTTCATCGGGATACCAATTATATCGTCAACCTTACCGATCGTTTCCACAGCTCTAGAAAGTTTATTTAGATTGTAGCCCACGCGTAATAAAGTTACAGGTTTAATTAAAGATGCTGAGACTAGAGAGCTATAAAAGGTGAAATAGCGGTAACTGTTGCTAAGAGCCCCATTTGAAATAGTTATTGATCGTGGGCTTTCGTTAAGAATAATGTAAGCTATGGCTGCCAATCTCAAAAGGCCGGAAGCTATGGCGTGTTTGAGAACGATGGAAGGACTTCCCGAATTATATTTGATCGGAAACAGGCCGAGATATTTGGAAACGATGAAAACACCCCTTTCAAGTTCTTCGAAAACGAAACAGAGCTCGCCTTTTGGGGTTGTCATTTTAAAACGAACCAGTGTTCTCGACTGAAAACCTTTCTCCTATCACGATGATATATGAAATTTGTTTTCGTTGTCAATGTTTGAGATAAATTCAATAACTTTAATGAAGTAATAAGAGCGAGATCCATTAGATATATTGATTCTATCCGGTTATAAAATAATATTTGTGAATTAATCTAGAAATGTACGTCAACAAATCAATCATTGTAATTTTTTTTGTATATTTAGAAATGACAAACCTCTAACCATTTCAGATAGTGGCTCAGAGTTATTTTAACACCGTGTTATGTATCAGACATTAGACAAAATAACTTTGAAATTTAATATTTTAAGGACACCGACAAAGCAACCAGGGCGAAAAAGGTCTACCTGCTAAACATCAGAAAAAATCTAACGCGTGCACCAAAAACCTTTCATTTACTTTTCTACTTTGAATTGAAATTATTATCTGGAAATCTTGAGCAATTAGACAATTTTTGAAGTGCGCTTATAACGGAGCTACAGCTTAAAGTATACAGCTAACAAATCATTAACACCACTTAAATAACAAAACTCTATTAATTATATCAATAGTAGACAATAAAAACTTCGTTACTCCATCTATTTTTGTAAACTACATAACTCCAGTCTCTGAGCAATATATATATATATGTGCCTAGAGAGGTTAGGAATTATATATATATATAGGATTATAGGATTGTACGCCTATTAATTATTACACTATTATTTTCCATTGTAAAATTTACTACAAAAAAATAACGAGGTTTTCATTGACTGTCAAAGAGGTTTTCATTATAGATAGGTCAAAAGTTTTTATACTAGTTTTAAGCGAATAATGTTTGGATTTCACTAAGGGAAAATTCATCAAATTATTCACTAATTTACTTTTTTAAAAGTTTTCAAGACTATTTTTCGGAATTAACAGACGTTGACACATACTTATTTAAATATAATATCAGATTTAGAATTATTAAACTACAGTAAATGTATTTAAAGTTATAAATATATGATTTATATATCCATGAAATATTTTTAGATATCACTTCTTTCACATTAGTAATATGTGTACATTAGTAATAAATATTTTTTTAAATAATGCCATTGCCCTGATTTGGTGGATTTTAAATACTTTTTTCAAACTTAAAAAAGTTTACATTTAGTTAGTAAATTTCTTTAATTTATTTGAAAACATGTGATTTCCGTTAAATAATATTAGTTTTGAAAATTATTATTTATAATTTTTCCATTCTTCGTCACCTTCTACAACTTCTATATTAGATATTATTTTTTTTAAATTCTCCGCTTTCCAACAATAAATTATACGCATACCTTCTGACTAGTATTTCTGACTAGTATTCCTCTTCAATTCCTGATAACCCTCCGAAGCGTCTGAAAAGAAGATGGCATCGGGACCGTCTAATATAGAACTTTAATTTGAGTACTACCAATGGGTAGTTTCTCTTCATGTTGTACATGTCATATTACTAGAGGATGCACGGGCGGATCTACGGGGGGGGGGGCTTTCGGGCTGAAGCCCCCCCCCCCAAAAAAAATGGTAAAATATAACCACGTTTTATCGAAAAAAATATTTAAAAAAGTATCTCTTAAAGTATTATTTTTCGTGTGATTAATATTAAAAGGGCTTTAGGAATCACTTAAACACCATTTCATACAGGTTGTTAGTTTCTTTCTTTTTTTCTAAAGCAATTATCGTTATTTTTATGAAAAAAAAGCTTTCGGGCTGAAGCCCCCCCTAAAATTAAATCCTGGATCCGCTAGTGAGAGGATGGAATGCTAAACATTTCCCTCGCTGACAGTGTGCAGATCCGATTTTTAGTTTCTGAGATATTTTAATCCATATCTTCAATAAAACCCGTTATAATTTCTGATACTATTTTTTTCTCTATTCACCTCACTAACATGGCATCGCGTTAAGATTCAATTTTGAATAATAACTCAGTACAAAGAGGATGAAGTGATGAATATGTTTTTTAATAACAATACGCAGGTCCAATTTTTAGTTTTTGAGCTATTTTAATCCATATTCAAAAACACTTCAATTACTCGACACCAGTCGAATTTACCCAAGCGTTACACATCGGAAATCTGACGACTCAATCTAATTCACTCTCCACAAAAAAGTGCAAAATGCGCCTAAAGAGGTTTTTACTTTAGAAATTTAAGACTGTTAGAATTCAAAAATATTTTTAATTGATATAGAAGGTGGATTTAAAATAATCCTTACTTCAATATATCATTGAATTTGTAGTTTCTCTTTTAAAACTTTATAAATATAATCTATGTATTGCATAGAGTAAAATAGTTTTGTTTATTTTTTGTTTACCATTAAAACAGAATCTCTGCAAGTATGGCAAATTTTCCAGAAAAATAACAAAATGATGCATAGCCAGAAGCAAAGATCGATTCTGATGGTGTTATCTTCAGTTTTTATTACTATATAAATCCTGGAGACAAAATATAGCAAGAAGGATAGCACACACAGAGATAGTTGAGTAGTATAACATTTGATGATGTCCTTGTTGAATGAAGAAAGCATCTCCTGACAGCGGCACCAACGCTCGACCGTCAAGTCGTTTATTGTGTTACAGAGAAATTCCAACCTCAAGCTCCCCAAGCGGACGAATTCTATAAACTGACTGGTGACTAAGAAGACATCAGTGGTAACCTGAGTGTATAACAACAAACTTGGACTGTTCTTCATAACCTCAAAAAAGAACCACGACTCGTATATTATGGACACTAGATTGATAGTCACGAAAATTGCAATATTAAGTTTCCAAGTAAGGTTCTTTAACGGAACTCCTATCATAGCATCTACTTCGGAAAGAGTTTCCAAAGCCCTGGAGCATGTTTCTAAATTATAAACTTGATGGAAGACCATAACTGGTTTGATCATCATTCCCGAAAAGAGGGCGCCGTAGTAGGTGAAGATGCGGTAAGTAAAATTATCTCCAAAATCGAAGGTTCTGATCGACTCAGCGACTACAACGTAACTGAAGATGGCTATTCGTAAGGCAACAGACATCAGAATATTCGTCAGGGAGAGGGATAGCTTCCCTGATATCACGTTAATTGGAAAAAGCCCTAGCCATTTAGAAAATAAGAAAATTCCTGTTTGGATTTCTAGGTAACCACTAATCTGCTTTTTAAGACTTTCTTCGGGTGGTGTCATTTTGCACTCAGCCAGTTCTATGTTGCAACTCCAACTGACATAGTTCCGGAAACAAAATATTCCAAGAGAGATAAAAATATTTGTGGGATAAATATTTGTTAAGTTTATTTCCCTGTTGTGTATATTTGATGTTTGTTCATGGGGTAATATGATCAATTCAAAGAATCTAATTTATGGAATAGCCTTTTCATTAATATGTGACTTCTCCAACCAGCTATTTCTTACTTGAAAATATTGCTTCAATACCACTAGTGATATGAACGTCTCCATACCTCACTATAATTATTGTCCACGTGACAGATGATTATATTTCTAAATAAAAAAAATACCATTATTCTTGATTAAATTTATAATGCTACGTGTTAGTAAAAACAAAACAAAACGAAAAAAAAAACTACTATAATTGTAAGAAGAACATTTTAGTGCTGATGTATGATTTTATAATGATGTATATCACAACATTTTCACTGCTTATAAATTGCTTTGAGTATAAATGAATCGCCTGACATCAAAGAGAGATGTCTGTCATTTTTATAGTTATAAAAATAAAATAACTGGAAAATAAGTAACTTAAAAAAGCAAAAAACACAAACCTATTTATACTATTTACAATCAAACTAATTACAATCCGAGGCAGGCTTGTCCCTCCAACTATAAAGGAAAAAGCAGGACTCCAGGAGATCCCTATGCTACTCTCTCAACTGCTTCACTGGTACTAAAGCCAGCGGAGGTTGATCGTGAGCACTTTAGCCACACTCATGTCTTGAGTGGAGAATCTGACCATTGTCAGAACTCCAATATATACAAACTACAAAAGGTCACGGAGCCACTGTCTTTTTAACATTCTTGGAGGATTGTAGAGATGCATGGTGCTTGATAGAGATTGTGCAAGAGGATATGGATGATAAGTAAGGTTCTGGTGAACTTTGTAACTTTTCTGGGATTTCCACATACGTCATTTGTCTAATAGAAGCCCAAGATAACGGACTGTGTTTGAGATAGGAAGCTGGATGGAATTAAAATAAATTGGTAGACAAGATTTATGACAAAGGATAAAGATAATGTGTTTTCATTTGGATTCATTTACCTCAACGTGCCATTTCTTACACCAGTGTTCAATCAGGGTATAATCAGGTTAATTTGTAGGTTTAAGAACTTTGTTTTAGGACGTGAGTTAGTTTAAAGAAGAAGCACTTAACACCATGTCTTCTAGTGCCTCTTTTCCACAGATTTATATATATATATATCACACATTTCAACACCTAGCTTTTCCCAAAAACTAGCAGTTGAAAGAAGAATTTGTCCCTCTACTTCCAAACCACAGTTATCGCACTGAAAAATTTCTCTGCCCTAATTCTTCTCTACATTTCTTTTTCTCTTTCAATAATTTTGACCTAAAATTATTGATATGTATATATATATTTATATATATATTTATATATATATATATATATTATTTTAATGAAATTTGCAACTGTATTACATGGAAAATACAACAAGTAAATGTGACATTGGTAACATGACATGTACAACATGAAGAGAAACTACCCATTGGTAGAATTCAAATTGTGGTTATATAGATATTGTTTTCCTTTTATTATTATTTATCAACACTTTTTTTTTTAATTATTTTTATACCTAGACAGGTCTGATTACTTCAGGTCTGATTTATTTTTGTTCTATTGAATATTGAAATATTACCAGAAGTGTTTTGAAGGTACCTAAGTATAGAATTATTGTATTTTTTTAAAGTTACATCTCAATAGCTGATGATAGATTTTTTCATGGTTAAAACTATTTTCCGACTTTATAGAGGTAGTCTAAAATATGGCTTCTCTCTATCTAGATAACTTCCCTTCCTAACAATCCCCTTCTTATAATTCTTTCCTATGATCTATATCTCAGGAATCACTTTATTTATGTCGTCATTCTTCGGAACATACAATAATCCATCACCCAAGTTAATGTATCTATCTCCTCGGTTTAATTTATTGGCATCCCTAGAAAAACCTGGCTGTGACACTAATTGATTAGAAAATAGGTGGTCAGTGGGACAAGGACAACAGTCAAGTAAAATATCCATTGCAATTCCGAATCACAGAACTTTGTATAATAGTTCACTGAAAAGAACCATTTGTAAATAATCCAAACAGTTTTATAACAAATATATAAATGAATTGGGTTGCTAAAATGTTTATTAATGGAGTAGTTGATAGTGCGTTACATTGTTGGATTTGTTTGTGACTGAACATTTTTAACATAATAAGTACATAAATTTTACTCCTTGCCAAGAAATACACATTATTCTATATTTACCATTATAAAACGTCTAGTAATGTGTCAATATCTAAAAGCTTTACTTTTTTGCTTATACCACTTTGCCTCTCAATGGTTCAGTAATAATTAATCTTAAAACTATATTAAAACTGGATCTCTGTCATCCTCAAGAAAAAAAATGAAATAATAACATTTCTTGAAAAATATAATTAAATTACATTATAAAATTAACAATATAGCATTAAAACTTGTTGCTATCAAATGAACAGGTTCTAGGTATTCACACCATACATATTCTGAAAAGTCTTATTAATATCAATTTATAATTTAAGTTTTATTAATTTCATTTTATAACGTTAATACCTATCTTATTAAACTATTTTCAAATAAATTCTATGATTGACTGTACTTCCAAATATGACAGGTATTGATCAATTTGGTTAACTAACACTATATTGTAACGTTATAGCCTAACAAAAAAAATATATATACACACAAAAATTCAACAGTTATACACAAATTTCTTAAATTACACTAAATTTAACAATGTAGTATTTTTGTCTACTCATTTACAATCAAACAAATTATATGAATGAATAACATAGTATAATAGGTATTGACAAATATAACTGATTACATATAAATATAATAAAAAAAATACATATACATCATTATTTATTTTTTAAAAGTCAAATATTTTATAAGTAATTTTAAAGCATGTTTAATTTATTTGGATGTTGGATGTTTAATTTATTAAAATTCAATAAAACAAAATAGGATAAGCCATTAGCCTCTGTCAAAAAAACCCATAGTTTCTAAATAATAAATATATTCCTTAGCCAGTTAGTGAAAAAAGAGGAATGAGGAAAACAGTGGAGAAGTGGTGACGATCTTTATCCAATTTCCGTGGTTCAGTTATTAAACTTTACGATATCGATTAGCTCAAGGACTAGATAGCCAAACTATGTTGGGGCATGGGTTCTAGAGTGGCCGATTCAGAGTGTTGTGGGTTTGATTCCCACCTGGACCAGTTAATATTTATTTTTCCATGCCCCTTGGAAATAAATCTTGCCACTGTCACTCTGGTAAGCATGTGGCAGCATTCTTAAGGTAGCATTCAGAGGTTGTCAAAGTTCTCCTCACCAGTAGAAGTACGAGTACCAGTACATAGCTCAGATTTAACATTATTCTCTCATTTATAATTTGTCTAACTCTCTCATTTTCATCACAATAGATTACTATTCCAGTAATTTGTTTCAATCCTAGAAATTCAGAATCCCATTTAAATCATTGTAAAGCCCTAACTTTAATTATATTGAACTAGTGTTGATCATATAATTCCAAATTTTCCCTATATTTATAAATTATATTTGTAGAGTTATGCAGTATTCAGATAATAGGTTACCCCAAATAATAGAAAAATGAGTAATTAAAAACAAAATAGGTTGGTATAAAAATGTAAAACAAGTCAATACCAAATAGATTTTGATTTTAATAACATAAATAAATGGAACATACATTTTCAGAAGATAAGAGAAAAACTGGCAATAGAATTAGAAAATCGGTTCAAAACCCTAGAGAAAAATTCAAATAGAACTAATATATACAAAAACTTAAATAATGATATATCGGGGAACAATTATTTCGATAAGAAATATAATGAAACGATGGTAAAATGGATATTCAAGGCCAGAGCAGAATTAATACAATTAAACTGTAGGGTGTATTATGAAGCAAGTAATAAATTATGTTCATTATGAAATAGAGAATATCGTGCATTTTCTTGGTGTATGTCTTGTTCTGAAAGAATTTAGGAAAAAATATTTTGGAAAAGATAGCCTGACATTTGGGGAAATAATTGCATATTTAGATGGAAAAAATTGGCTAAGTCTATCCAATTATTGTAAAGGAGCCTGGCAATACAGTATGCCTTATGCAAATAATTTAATTATTAGATGAATAATGTTTAAGCCGGAAAATTATTTATGTAATTATATTAAAATACCTATATTAAAAATGTGTATGTATTTATATGTTTATGTATTTATATGTAGTTATATTTGTGATATTATGAGCTGATACATTGGAATTTTGTATTTGTTATAATTAACACTGTATTTATTAACATTAATATATTAGGTTTTAGTTTATATTATTGTATTGATGATACTTATTTAGCCAAGGCCAGCCTCCGGCTGACGGTTTCAAGAACCAAGCCGTATATATTTTTTATTGAGCTTGGATACTTTTGTTGTATGTTATTGTATAAATACTCAGTAAAAAATTCATTTATTCATTCATAATTCCAAATTTTCCAAAACATGTAAGCTTTGTCCTCTCCTAAATACAACTTAAACTATATTTATTCAAAGAACTAATAAACAACCAATACTCCATTGTTATGTAATTGCAAACAGAGTAAGCACATTGCCTGGATACTAATATATTTTTTAATGTGAATTAAAATTTAACATTGCACTTGAACGATTCATATTTCTTGACATTTTACTATTAATAATCGAAAAACATTAATTTGTATTAATTAAACTATTTTTAGCTACAAAATACTTTAATTGGGCCAACACAAATGCTAAGTATTTTATTAAATCCTAGAATACAATGCAATATAAATAGATAGATAGATAAGTGGGAACAAGCACTTTTTTCAAAATTAGCCTGAAGGACTAATCAGAAAACTGAATCATTATTAACACTGATGAAACTGCTGCTGAGATAATCTGGAAAATGGAAACAATAAACGGTTTTTGTAAAAAGAAAATATTTATTTTTTTATATGTGTATATAAATTGTATGTGTATGCTACTTTAAAAACAAATTAATAATTATTAGAAAGAATTCAATTTACTGAGAACTAGTAATGGACAGATTAATCAAGTATCATGGCTGATTCTCCATGAGGCCACTAGAATACTCTCTCATAACTCTCTCCCTTATTCACTGATGCTTACTGTGTTTGTTCTAAGAAATCTTCTGGCCCTGCAATGGTACAAAAATTGACCTCATCGCAGGCGTTTTATTGTAAATTACGTAATTCTATGTTATTCTGAGTAAAATGAACCTTGTCCACCATTTCTGAGCCACTGGATTAAAAAATGGCGGCTGATTTAGAGAATATTATTCCAATAACATGAGGATCAAATCGAAACCCATTGCGAAAAATGTGAGAAAAGTTTTTATTTTTTTAACTAGGTTTTAAATTTGACCACCATGGGAAAAACTTTTTAAGTCAGATCGTTTCCACATTTCATTGTTTTTTCACCTACAACTTCTAAACAATACAACAAAGCGAAAACTCTATTCTATAACAAATTAAAGAACGTTAAATTGTGCGTCTAAGGAATCCCTAAACCTAATAATTTGGTTAAGTGGTATGGTAGAAAACCATGGTCAACCAATTCTTAAAATCAGTCGTCATTTTTCAAAAGCAGCTGTTCTGGAATGGCGGACATGGTTCTTTTTACATAGTCTAACGTACACTTCCGTAATTTGAAATAAACAATCGCCTGCGATGAGGTCGATTTACTTGGTTTTATTTCGGAGTTGCCTTTTCCTAGACAACTTGCCTTCACTACGGCTATGAGGTAGGTCCCCCCTCCCACCCTCCAGATGCAGTTTAACGTCATGCCCAGGACGGCTGCCCATACTTACTGTGCATAAAAGAGGAAAGTCAAACCGAAAACATCCCAAAGCTGTGAAATCTTCAACTGTTTGAACTCGAAAGTGAAGCATGATCCGTTTCTGAAACATATTTCAATCATTTAGTATGTTAAATGCTAATTTTATATTTATAGCTACAATCAAAGATTATATCTGAATATATAAAGAATGTTGGACAGAAGATTGATAAGAGATGATGATTGAAATGGAAGACATAGTAGTTCTTGATGTAAAAAATTTAGAAATTTGACGGGGAATGGTATACTAATGAAATTTGTCATGAAGTTATCTAGAAGATTTGAAATGAATGAAAAAATAATTTTATTCTATTATTCTAGTCTCTATTCTATTATTATTGTTACTTAAGTCGCCTAACAATAATAATAACATGGTACAAAATATTGGTACGTTAGTCTGCTTTGACAAGAGAGAGAGATACTTTATTAAAAGTAATGCTGCCCTACTACTTAGGGTTGCTTCATACACAGTACACTTATCAATCCATATGAACATAACTATTATATTACATTCTTCTATTTTTGTATATAATATATATAAAAAAAGAAAGTAATGATATATATACGTATCATTACTTTATGTTTTTTCCTCTCTTCTCATAACTATACTCCTATAAATAATCAACAATAAACCATATCAAGCTATGAACATTATAAAAAAAAATTCAAACGCCATGAACTCAACACTACATCGCAAAATAAGGTCATTTGAATGTTAATTTGAATTGCTGTCGCAATCATATCTGAACAACAGTAAGCAATTTAATACTAGTACATTTTATATGGTTTACATGTATACAAAGAAGAAAGTAAATAAATAAATTAAATCAAATGAAACTTGTCGATTAATTGTTAGTGAGTAGTTGTAATTGCAGAATCCAATAAGTATTACGTAGGTACAGGAGTTTGAAAATGAAGTAGAGTTGTTTGAAGGAATTTAAGGAAGAGGATTGCCGTATGGTGATAGGTAAAGAATTCCAGAAGGAGGTAGCACGAATGAAAACGGATTTTCTGAAGGAGGTAGTTTTATGAGAAGAGATATATAAATCAATAGGTTGAGATCTGGTATTAAGAGAGTGGATAGACGAGCGTGGAGTGAGAAGTTCCATGACATAGGGAGGATATTTAGTTCTTAGGACCTGGAAAAGGAGAACAGCAAGAAGGAATTGTCGTCGAGAATAGGACAGAGCCATTTCAACTCGGTATATCAGTAGGATACATGAGAACGCCTGGGAATTCCAAAGATGAATCTTATAAACAGTTCATAAATCTCTTCAATTTCTCCTCCAGTCTTTGAGGCAGTTCTCCATACACCATGCAACCGTAGACGAATCGGAGAAAAACGAGAGAGGTTACAAGAAGCTGTCTGGTTTTTTTGAGGAATAGAATCACCGAATCTTAGAAATTGTTTAAGGACAGGTATGGATTTTTGGGTTATCTGGAAATATGATTATTCCAGGAGAGGTTCTGATCATAGATAACTCCTAGATTTCTGATTGTTGGGGAAAATGGATGGGGCGGTTATTGAGGTAGAGCAGACGAAAATATAGGAAATTTAATTTAAGAAATAAGTATGACTGTTAGTTTTGTTTTCAGTTCTGCGCATGCGCTTGATTTGATCGCCACGTTTTTACATCGTCTCTCACAGTTTCTCTTTTTTTAAGGGGAAAAAGTTTACTTTTTTTACTCAAAAACTATTAACGCTTAGATCAACACAGCAGCAACAATGGACTAATACCACAGTGAGTAGTGTTGATATTTACTGTGTATTCTATAGACAGTGAAACCAGTGTCCGAGGTGCTTTATCGCTAGCCTTATCTGCCATAGCTACGTCTGATACTGCCCACTCTAGCAGTCGTGGCTCTGCCACGGATGAAGACGGACGGAGCTGTGCTCGTCGTTTCTCCGAGTTCAAGGACACGCAGACGCAGTTTTATTTTCCTTATTTTTTTTATTATTTTTTTTTTTAGATGCGATATTTTCATCAAGTGATGTCCACTAAGAGGTCTTGTTCTGCTGGCTGCACCCCTCGTAACCCACCACCTAAACAAAAAACTCGTCGCAGTAAGCGATCGACACCCCCCCCGGAACTCCTCCAGCGAAAATTCAAGATTCCACACCACAACCGTAAACAGGTACCTCTTCACAACAAATAGTCTCTGAATCTCCATTTTTTACACCCAATCCATACCAGGTGCTTCAAAATGACAGAGAGGAGATGGATTCTGCACCGATACCTAGAGAACCACGGCCTCCTCCGATCTTTATCAAAAATATTAGAAATTTTCAATTATTATGCACCCAATTAAATACAATCTGTCCTGATAGCTTTTCATGCCTTAACAGGACTAGCGACACAAAAATAACACCGGCCACACCTGAAGCCTATCGAAAAATAATCAAGTATTTGACCGAAACAGGTGCGGATTTTCACACATACCAGCTGAGGGAGGATAGATCATTAAGAGTAGTGATAAGAAACTTACACTCCTCAACCCCAACTGAGGTTATCAAGGATGAGCTAACGGCGTTAGGGTTCAATGTTCGCCAAATAACAAACGTTCTGAAAGAAAATAGAGACCAACCAGGAGTAAAAACTAAAATTCCACTGCCCTTATTTTTTGTGGATCTGGAGCAAACACCAGGGATGGAAAAAATATACGACATACATCGGTTATACTATACCATCGTAAAGGTTGAAAAACCATATCCGAAAAAAGAAATCGTCCAGTGCCACAATTGTCAGGCATACGGCCACACTAAGTCATATTGCCACCACATGCCGCGCTGCGTGAGGTGCGGCGAATCACACAAATCTGGAGAATGTACCAACCAATAAAAGATCCTGCAGTCTGAGCCCTATGCTGGGCGGGTCATCCGGCCAACTATAAAGGTTGTGAAATCTATAAAAACCTCAAAGCTAGATACAAGCCCCGGAACCACGATGCTACACCTAAGCAAAGAAGAGGACTTGCTAAAATCGTGGACTCTAAAGTTTCCTTTGCTAAGTTACTCGGAGGTAGAGACCCGACTAATGAATGTGAGGCCCTGCTGGTACAACCAACTCAATCCCTACCTCAATATCATATCCCTCCTAATTTACCTAAACCTCAACAACCTAACCAATATCAAATCCCTCACATTCCCCCACCGTCCAATGCCACAGATCTTACTAGTTTATTGACATCCTTCCTTACCAAATTTAAATCCCTTGTCTCCCCACTGATATCACTTCTTACAAACCTGGTATCTCATCTCATTCCTCCTTTAAAAAATCCTTAAATGACTTTCATCAAACCCATATCCATTCTCCTATAGAATGCGAATGGTGTTAGAAATCACACAGACGAACTAACAGCCTTACTATTAGACAAGATAATTGATGTAGCCCTAATTACAGAAACTTGACTGACCAAAAAACAGCTTTTGAAAATACCACAATACTTAACGTATCGGACAGACCACCCTGACGGTAGAGCACATGCCGGTACTGCTGTCATCGTACATCAATCCCTCTCTCATCACATACTCCCATTGCCTAATCACGATTTCCTACAATCCACTGCAGTTGTAATCAAAACCTTTTCCTTTCCTGTCACCATTGCATCAGCATATTGCCCTCCTAACCGATCCATATCCAATGTCCACTTCACCTCTCTCCTAAATTCCTCAGGAAACCACTTCATCCTGGGTGCAGACTTAAACGCCAAGCATCAACAATGGGGTTCAAGAACCACGAATTCTCGTGGTCGAACATTGCTGTCTGCACTCAATTCCCAATGTTTTACCCTCCTTCCTCCCAATTCACCTACCTACTGGCCCACTGACCCTAACCGTAATCCCGATATCCTCGATTTCTTTATCCACAAAGGTTTAGGTACCTTCCACCATTCCCTTGCCCATCTTGATGAGCTTTCCTCAGACCACAGCCCATTAATATTCCAAGTATCATTAGCTCCTATTCCTAAACCCTCTCCACCATCCTTCATCAGAGGCCCAGTTAACTGGAAACTCTTTCATCAAATCCTCTCCGATAAAATTGACCTCAGAGTAACCCTGAAAACCCCTGAAGACCTGGACAATGCAGTACATTCCTTCACTACCAAAATTCAAGAAGCAGTGTGGACTGCTTCCTCCCCTGATCACTCCTCAAAAATCCTTAAGAAACATAATTTACCTCAACACCTCCTTGACCTAATCCACATAAAACGCCGTGCCAGATTATTATGGCAACGTACCAGACATCCAGCCGACCGCCACTCCTACAATTATCACTGTAAAAAATTAAAACAAGAATTAGCCACCTTCGGATCCCAATCATTCAATTCCTACCTCACCACACTCTCTGCTCATGATAATTCCCTTTGGAATATCACCAGAAAAATCCTCAAATACCATCATATTTCCCACCCTCATCGACGAGGTGATGGCTCCTGGACAGCATCTGATGAAGATAAAGCCGAGGAGTTTGCCAAACACTTTTCCTATACTTTCGCTCCTCATCCGGAATCTCATCCTACCCACACAGTAAAAGTAGAAGAATTCCTTTCTTCACCTATCCCACTCTCCTTACCACCTAAAGCAGTTAATCCCTCTGAGGTCAAATACCTATTACGCAAAATCACTCCTCGTAAATCTCCTGGATACAACCTTCTAACCCCGCAGATCCTACGACAACTACCATCCAAAGCCATCATATTTCTAACCTATATATACAATTGTATCCTCCGAACTACCGACTACCCTCTCCTATGGAAACATTCCACCATCATCCTTTTCCTGAAACCAGGCAAGCCTCCCAATAATACATCATCCTATAGACCAATTAGCCTACTCCCAATTCTTTCAAAAATTTTTGAAAAGGTCCTCCTGAAAAGAATCCTACCCATAATAGACTCCCGTAAAATCCCTACCCATCAATTCGGATTCTGTTCCCAACATTCTACCGTCCAACAAGGACTCCGCGTTGTTGACCACATATCCTCAGCCCTAGAAAACAAGCAGTTTTGCCGACTGTTATTCAATTGAGGCTGGAGTTCCTCAAGGCAGCGTCTTGGGTCTCATCCTTTACCTCATCTATACCGCTGATATTCCCGTCCATTCCGATACACTCCTGGCAACTTTCGCTGATGACACTGCGATCCTATCTTCTAACTTAGATCCTGAAACAGCGTCCAACGCAAACCTGCAACGGCACCTATCCTTGATTGAACACTGGTGCAAGAAATGACGCATCAAAGTCAATGAATCCAAATGTAATCATATAACCTTCACCCTTCGTCGTAATTCCTGTCCACCAGTTTACTTTAATACCATCCAGCTTCCCTTCTGCGACACATTCCGGTACCTTGGTTTTCTCCTAGACAGACGACTAACGTGGAATCCGCAAACTAGACTGAAAAGACAGGAACTTAACCGACGTTATGGCCAGCTATATAGACTACTTAATAGAAAATCTAAACTTTCTATTGAAAACAAACTACTCATCTACAAGACAATATTAAAACCCATGTGGACTTACGGACTAGAACTGTGGGGGACAACCAAATTTTCTAACATCAAACGCATTCAATCCTTCCAGTCCAAAGTCCTCCGTACAATAGTCGATGCTCCCTTCTATGTCTCTAATAAAACCCTGCACAATGACCTTAATATTCCATTTATTCTTGATCTTATCCCAGACAAATTCTCCAAATTTCATCAGAACCTTACCTATCACCCTAATCCCGAAGCACAATCCCTATCTAGCACCACTCATCCCTACAATCCTCCTCGCAGGCTGAAACGGCAGTGGCCCCGTGAACTTTTGTAACATGTATATACTGGAGTTCTGGCAATGGCCAGATTCTCCACTCAAATCATGAGTATCCGTGGTTATAGCGCCCTTACTCAATCTCCGCTGGCTTTCAATGCCAGTGAATTGGTTGAGGAAGAAGCGCAGGGATCTCCTGAAGCCTTGCTTTCCCTCCACGTGTGGGGGGATAAGTATGGTTCGGAGTTCCTATGGCCGACTGTAAATAGTGTAATAGGTATGCCTGCGTATAAGATGTTTATTTTCATTACTTTTTTTTTTTTTCTCACTATGATATTTTATTTTGTTCTTTTGTAGCTTTATATTATTTGAAGTTAGCTTATTTTTTTATTATTTTTTTTTTTTTTAATTTGTAAATATGGTGTGAATGTGCTCTTAGAACTCTATTATAAATGTCCTTTATTGAGACATATTGTAATATTTATCAATAAAAAAAAAAAAAAGTTTTGTTTTCATTTTTTTTTTCTTTACTATTTCACTATAAGCTATATTTCTTTGTTTTTACTACAGCTTTTATTTTTGTTATATATGCATTATTAGCTTTTATATATCTATTTTTATGTATTTCATTTTTTTATTTTATTATATTGTAAATATGGTATGAATGTACCTTACAGCTTTAATACTGAGCACCCTTAAGTGTGGTAAAATGTATTATACCTCAATAAAATTATTAAAATTATATTATAATTTAAGAAAACCCACAGCATTAGTGTATAAAAAAGAACGTAGTGCTACTGTAGTACATTAGTGTAAGGTGACTTTAGTCTCAGAATAAAAAAATATTTTTTAATTTCACTACCATACATGGTACAATACCACAGTGATGGTATTACGTATATACGCAAATATAAATACGAAATGTATTTATAATTACAGTACTCTATGAAAACAAATATGAATACATTTATATTTAAAAAAAAAAAGAATATGAATACAGATAATTCGTATTCACACCTGTAAATATAAATACACTCTTTTAAAAGTGAATACGGCTATATTCCATAAAAATGAATACGCTTGTGTTTACAGAAGTGAATAGATGAATGGATTAAGTGAAAATATTTTCACATAATCTTATTAATGAATAATCATATTTATTAATTTTTCAACAAATGTATAGCTCTAAATTGAAACATTTGCAATTTTATTCACTTCTGTAAATATGAATACGCTTGTAATTACAGGTGTGAATAACAATACTGTTATATTTAATTAATCTTATGAATGAATTCCATTTATATAAAAATAAATAAATGAACAATATTCAAATCTGTTGTGCAATTTTAATTTTGACCAACAATATCACATCAGTTCAAAATACAATGCTTACCTACTTTCAGTAGTGAGGAAGCAAAATCTAAAAATATCCAAAATTTTAATTTTATGCTTAATATAATTAAACAGTTATGTAGAGATTCTTTCGAAATTTTTTGTTATTTTCGAATCAACTTTGATAATGTTGAAAATTTTGAAGAGATTATTTTAATAAACCCTTTGCTGCCCAGAACTTTGTGCTAATTCTTTATTAGTATCTTTTTTTTTTTATTTTGTAAAATACAAAACTATACACCCTGCCAGAGTAATTGGATAGAAGAAGAAAATTCCTATTACTCAACCAGACGTTTCACTGAATGCTATAAATTATAATTATGATTATAATTAGTTCGCTCAAAATATTGTTACGAACCTTTTAGCGGATTTATTAAATCTCTAGACTTCATAGCTAACAAATATTTGTTAAAAAATTAATATTTGTTTAATAAATGAGAGCATCGATTTATAAGATTAGGTAAAAATATTCTCATTCACTTCTTGTGCTGAATACAAAAGTATTCATTTTTATAGACGTTAATACAGAATTTACTGTCTTTTGTGGTATATCAATCCGTCGCTTACTTTTACTGTTTGGAGAATTGGTTAAAAAATAGCTTACATTTCTTAAAAGACTCCTTGATTTGTCGCTAATAATTAATTTATATAGCTTGTCATCGAACTTTTTGGCCTGTAAAGAAAATCTATATTATTAATCATATAATTAAATAATTTACTAATTATTAGTCCTGTTTAATAAAAATATCAATATTAAAAATTTGGATGTATTAAAACATTCTGGTTGTTTTTTACATGATTAGTCAATTTTATTAGAAGAAAATTGTTTTTCGTTCACAAAAAAATTTGAAAACGAAATTATAAAGACTTGTTGAAAAAATATAAATAAAATAAAGTATATAAAATATAAATATACAAATTTTCATTCAATTAAATGAAAATACACTAATAATTGTTTCTTAATATAAATCCCTTTTCCGGCTCAGATCAGAAGAGGTGGATTTTGAAGAATGAGGTACCAATAGAAAGAAATTTCATGTAGAATGAGCAAATCGTAATGTCGATTCTACCATTTTTTTAAGTCCTAAATGCGACCAAGCACGAAGAAGGGTCTCCCCCCGCTGTTGAAAACCTGTGAGCGACATGGTCGCCATGTATACTGATGTCCAAGTTTCAAATTCTTTCCCATGAATCTATGCTAATTACATAGTTAGTGAACTGTTATCAGTTAAATATAAGATGTTAAAAGAGTGACAATTTGTTGGCAAATTCTGTGGCTTAAAACCCAGGATATATTTCCAATTTCCATATAATAAAGTAATTTTAGTCTTATACGCTTCCTTCATATGGCGATAGAAGGTTACATCAAGCAAGCCTTGTGCTCTGCTCTGAAAATTACAAAGGTGTGTGTGCCTTACGAAAACTGGCGCAACTAATACAACTCCAACTGCTGCTATGGACGTTTTTTTGAACTTAACATCAATGAACATAGAGGTAAAAGCGCCAGCTGCGTGCTAAACAGTATTGTTAAGTTAGAAACAAGATCCAAATCCCTAATTTATCAAGGACATGCGATCCTGTTTTAAAGGATTGACAACAAAGAAGTACGGGCAATACATTCTGACTTTCAAATTAAGAACTATCGAGATGTATACTATAGTGTATTGATCGGCTAACATACACAGACCATGTCATAAAGTTAACTGATGTATTTGGTGCTCAGATAAACCTTGTAAGAGAATTACCATATCTTTAAGTTATCATTGAGCCCGAAGTATTAGCAACTAACGCCTCAGTCTAATCTCTAACAGAAAAGGGAGTGAAGAACAGGCAGATCTCGACATTTGTTAAAATCCATGTGGCAATGGAACCCTATCGAAGTTCGTAGGTGAGTAGAAGGCGATATAAACATCTCTGAAACCTACAAGGTTAAGGCTGAGAGTGTTCCTGAGCACTCAGGAATATTAGTAATGAGAAGGCTGAAAGACTTGCTAGGAAAGGCTAAGGATAGATACCTTTAACATCAGAGCCCATTTCTGACAGCAGTCACAAAAAAAAAAAAAAAAAAAAAAAAATCGACTAACAGATTGTTTAAATTTAAAGGATGTATTCAAGCTGGTTTGAGGGGAGAGGGACTGAGTCGTTAATTTTTTTTTAGAGAGGACGGGCAAATAGCATTTTGGGTTGATGAAGGAGAAGACGGTTGTTAGAAAACTAGATTAGATTTCCTATAATAACGTAAAATCACACATATTCAATTGACTGATGAATAACCGATCAATCGATGTATGTGATAAGAAAAGAGATGAACCTAAGGAAGGAAGTTTAATACTGATGGATGTATTAAACCTTTGTAGGTATAAATATTCCTGAATGGAAATGACAAGCCCTACTGAAACTTCAATTTATAAATCTGAAACGAACATTACCTGCTTATGAAATGATAGCATGGGTCTGCAAGTAAATTTGAAATAATTAAAATAACTTAAACATGTTTGATATAATCAAACAAATAAGGTAAAAACATATGACAGATTCATTAATTACTATGTGGATAGTTCAATTTTATAAAGAATTCGAACTCAACAATATGGAACAATTTTTCATTGACCAATACAATTCAATAGATTGGATGCAGTGCAATCGTTCAGTAGTATGCTAGTTAACGCCACAATAGCTATAGTTACTATTGGTAGATAATACCAACTTTCAAGCAAAACTAACAGTACAATAGGACTACCAAACTGGAAACTTCATACTGTTGAGCGATTAATCTTTGTTTCAGAACTTTTTATTTCCCTGGCAGTTAGATTTTGAAATTTATAAAAGTCGTCCAATTAAATATGATTAATGATTTCATACCAAGTATTGTTATTATGTTATGGACCTTTAAGATTAGGATCAATTATAAATTAAAATTATGGCTGGCTTAAAGATAGTTACCATCAGAATTGCTTTTCTGCAGGTGTTGCAGATGTTCCAAATGCAGATTGTACTTACAAACATCCAACACGTTAGGATCATTCTCATAAGTATATCATCTATTTTTATGAGGATATAAATCCGAGATATGAAGTATAAAAGAGAAGATAATAATATTGAGCCGAGCTGGAAACTGTAACAATGGTTGACGTCTCCGTTAAAGGAGCAAAGCAGCTCGTGGCATTGACACCACCGTTCAGCGACCAATTCATTTACTGTTTCGCTGAGAAATTCGAACCTCTTTTTGGCCAAACAGACTAACGTTGTGAACTGGGACCCCACTACGTAGATGTCAAGTGCAAGCAAGTAAAACAAAAAACAACTAGGACTCTTAATTAACAAATCATAGAAAAATACCATTTCGTATATGAGCGATACGAATTCAAATATCATAATAAAGACCAAGCTAAATTCCCATCGCTCTTTCTTCATCGGGATGCCAATTATATCGTCAACCTTACCGATCGTTTCCACAGCTCTAGAAAGTTTATTTATATTGTAGCCTACCTGGAACAAAGTTACAGGTTTAATTAAAGATGCTGCAACCATAGAGCTATAAAAGGTGAAATAACGGTAGCTGATGCTAAGACTTCCATTTGAAATAGTAATTGACCGCATGTTTTCTTTAACGATAATGTAACCTATCGCTGCCAATCTTAAAACCCCGGAAGCTATGGCGTGTTTGAGAACGATGGAAGGACTTCCCGAATTATATTTGATCGGAAACAGACCGAGATATTTGGAAACGATGAAAATACCCCTTTCAAGTTCTTGAAAGGCGAAGCAGAGCTTATTCCCTTCTTTAGCAGTTGTCATCTTCAACCGAAGGCTTGTGCTCGACTAAAAACTGTGTTTGTTTTCATTGTCAATTTTTCGATATAAACTCAATAAATTTAATGTGGTAGGAAGAACGAGATCCATTAGATATATTGATACTATTCGGTTGTAGAATAATATTTTGAGTTAATCTACAAATGCATGTCAACAAACCAATCGATGTAGTTTTTATTTCTATTTGGAAGTGACGAATCTCAAAACGTTTTAGGAAGTGGCTCAGTGTTATTTTGAAACATATAATGGCATATTCCTCGCGCGGGTCTCATTACCGCATAGGGGAGCGTCACATGAGTGGCGGATGTGCGGTTGGTCGGCGGAAACTCCTTTGAAGTTCCTCCCTGCTAAATCCGATGGACTCGCTGACCAACAATGCGAGGTGCCCACCAGACTTGCCCTTCTCACATATCTTCAGTAAAACGCTCATTATCGGGAGGTAAACTAGTTCCCCGTTCGGGTCACTGGATGGGGACTGCTTTAGTGAATTCATGACTTAACTTGAAAAATAATAATGTAATCATAGGTACGTGGAACGTTAGGAGTTTGATTTGAGCAGGTTGGTTAAAATTGATTAATGAATACAGTTTGTAAATTGTGGTCCTGCAAGAAATTAAGCTGATTGATTAAAACATTTTTTTACAATAATCTTTTCGTGTTTTGAATCCAAATTCTTTCAAAATACTCATGGAATCTCACCTGAATAACTTGAGCCAAGTTATTTTTATACCGATAAAAATCGATTCAGTCGTTAGCACAAAAACTCGTTACATACATTTTACTGAATTGATTAAACCTATTTTATTCATTCACGGGTCAGTATTTTAGCTCAAATTGTTAAAAAACACTCACGGGATCTCATTGAATAATTTAAATCAACCAAATTAATTAATAATCAAACTTAAAAACCGAACTATGCCATACTCCATCATTTATGTCTTATAGAATGGTCGTTTCTAGAGGTACAACTAAACCTCTTCCAATCAGATTGGGATGGTCGAGATTAATTTTGTAGATCCACCGCGAAATATATTTCAATTCTCCCAGAGCGGCTTCAAACTGGCATCGCTGGTCTCGAAAATGTAAAGGCAAGAAACTCTCTAACCGGCTCGGCCATTACTGTTCCTTCATTGACCTATTCTAAATTTTAAAGAATTTTAAACATCCTGGATTACGTTCTTTCTTGTGCTTTTATTCATCATCTCCAAAAAAGCAATAATTAATTTAGATTTAAGTTTGAAATGTATTTCAATGAGGAAAATATTTTTTTTATGTTTACAAAGGTCTGTTCTGATGATGTCATCTTCAGTTTTTATTACTACATAAATCCTGCCATTTCTATATTGAAATTACAACAACGATAGTCCTGAAAACAAAATACAACAAGAAGGATAACAATATTTATGGGACAAATATTTGTGGAGTTATTTCACCACTATGGGCGTTTGCCGTTTATTTTTGGGGTAAGAATAATACAGTCATTGCATCGACTCTAATATATAGAATTACCTTTTCATTAATAAGTGATATACCTTATTTTCTGTTTGCTTGGACCCGTCTAACCACTATAAAATATTGCTTTGATACCATTATTCCTGATTAAATTTATAACACAACGCAATAACTTTTAAAAAAAAAAGGAAAAGTAAATTAATAACTGTAATTCTAAGAATAATATTAGTGATATTTCACGATTTTCTAAGTGTTTTCGGAGCATAAAGAATATATGAAAACAATTCCTTACTGTTTTGAAAGTAATTGATAATGAGTTTTCATTTTGAAGTACCTGAAATTAATTTTTTTTCTTTCTGCAAAATGAAAATTGAATTTGAATACAAGAGATAATCTGCTCCATTTCTTTTTACAATGGAGTATTTTTGAAGAGCAGCTTCGCCATGCGTCATTCCACTATGCCAATATTGATGCTTCATCCAGCCTTTCCCAGAAACACAATCCGAGGTTTTAATTCTCCTCAAGGTAGTATCCTAGGTCCTATCCTTTACACAGTTTATACAGCTGACATTCCAACTCAATCCAACACTGTCATCACCACCTATGCCGATGACATGTTTATCCTATCAGTTAATAACGATCCATCTATTGCATCCCAAACCCTTCAATCACACATCACAAATCTTGAAAAATGGTGTCAAAACTGCAGAATTAAAATAAATCCCATCAAACTATTTTCACTCTTCATCGTAAATCTATGACTTTCTGCCCTACTGTATCCTTTAATAATATCCAATTTATCCTCGTTGAACAATTCCGATACCTAGGACTCCACCTGGACAAACAACTCACTTGGAACCCCCATACCAGACTGAAACGCCTAGAAACCGCCCGACGTTTTCGACTACTGCAGCACTTACTTGACAAACGCAAAGCTTTCAATCAAACGATTATATATATGACAATAACAAGATCTATTTAGACTTGAGGAATTGAGCTTTGGCGCTACACTAAACCATCGAATTTCTCTCGTATCCAATCCTTACAATCTAAAATCCTTCGGAAAATCCTCAACGCTCATTACTTTGTCACAAATAAAATCATCCATAAAGACCTTAATGTTCCATATGTTTCCGATTTGGTGCAATCCAGACACCTATCCTTCCATAACAAACTGCAGAACCATCCGAACCCTCTCGTTTCAAACCTTGCTTCCTCCTCGATCCCTGATAACCCTCCGAGGTGTCTGAAAAGAAGATGGTCGCGGGACCTTCTAATATAGAACTTTAATTTGAGTTCTACCAATGGGTAGTTTCTCTTTATGTTGTTCATGTCATGTTACCAATGTCACATTTACTTGTTGTAGTTTTCATTTAATACAGTTGTAAATTTCATTAAAATAAAAAAAAAAAAAGGTTTTAATTAAGAGTTGACGCCAATTAAAAATGAACAGAAGCAAATACAGATTCTTCATTTCTCTTCGGTACCTAATCCTCATTAAAGCTTCCTTTTAGTTATTAAGTTATGAAACATAAAGTTATTATACTGTGACTCTTTCTAGATTCAAACGAATACTTTTTTTTTACACATTTTTCGCCTTTTAGGCTATACGGGGTTTTTCCGAGCTAGGGGATGAGGGCTGCCTTTAATTAATGCCAGAGTTACATGTCCTCCCTCTCCCCCGGGGCACCGAGGCGCGAACTCATAATTATTTCATCAATAACACTTAGTTTATCTGATATAACATCAATCAATCAGTATAATATCAAAGTCATATGGTAGTTATGTTTAGTTCAATTGCTGGAAGGTGAAGTTCAGTAGAATTTCGTTAGTCGTGTACCAACGTGCTTTTGATATGAGCCGTATTAAGTTTAATTGAAAGGTTGATTTTATATTTTTTATTTATATCGAATTTGTGTGGGGTTCTTAATCATATTCTCACCTATGATCTTTTATCGTTCGGGGAAGGCAATCTTCTCCCTTGACGAAGCGCTTCTTTGATGGCAGTTACCTCTCCTAAAACGGAGCAGACTAGATAAATCCACTTTAACTCTAACATTAATCCCCCGCTCTCTCGTCTGACCCGATAAAAATTCCGTATAGCTAAAAGGCGAGGAATAGAAAAAATAGAAAAAAAAAGTTTGAAAAGAAAATAATTCCGTTACAGAAACATTTGATTTGAAAC